TGGCAGAGTGGTAAAGAATCTGCCTGCCTTTACAGGAAACGTAGGAGACAAGGGTTCACTCCCTGGGTCAGGAAGATTCCCTGGAGTAGGAAATGGCAACCCACTCTAGTATTCTTCCCTGGAAAATTCTTTGGATAGAGGAGCCTGGTGGGCTACAGTTCATGGGATCACAAAGAGTTGGACATGACTGAACATGCACACATATATGTATAATATGTATATATATATTTTCAGATTTATTTCCACTATAGGTTATTACAAGATATTGAATATAGTTCCCTGTGCTATACAGTAGGTCCTTGTTATCCATTGAGTTTTTATATCAATTCTTTTTCATTTCTAGAAATTCTACTTGGTTCTTTTTAATACTGTCTTGATCATGTTTTAGAGTCTCTTGCTCTTTCTGATATCCACCCCCTCCTTTATTTTTTCAAACATATTGTAGATATATTTTTATATATGGTCCAATATCAGAAGGTTTTAGGCGGATCTGACTCTGTTGTGTATTTTTCTCACTCCAAGGCCCTAATTTTGTGTTTTATGACTTTGGAATGAGAGCACATACTCCTTGAAACTTTGTAGGATTCCTTGGAGACCTAGGTTGGAGGAGAGCTCCTCCAGAGGAGTTACACACTGGCTTCTGCCTGCTGCCAGAGGGCACCAGCTACTTGAGAGCAGACTGAATGACATTCTCAGCTTGAGGCTTCTGGATTTCCCAAGTAGTGTGAATTCCGGCCAGAAACTCTCTTTTGAGTCTCTCCTTAAGGTTGTGAAGTCTCAGGGGAGATTGTAGTTTTCCCCCTCTATGCAGTGTGAGGGCTTGAGAAAGGCTCTTTCCTGGCAGTCTCCTAGGGAGTTGTGTGTGGACGATGGGTACTTGTCATTCCACCTCACATGGAGTTTGAGGTCTTTTGGAGCCCAGCTCTAGCTGAGAGCGTTAACTCCCATACCCTGGATGGGCTCTGGGCATTGTTTTCTGTCCCTGTGTCCTTCCCACAAACTGTGAGACTGAAGCTCAGGGCCACCAAGTTCTGCAGATGCCCACAAGGTCAACTTGTGCTCCAGTCCACTTTCTCCTCTGGGTTCTTATATTCACATGGTTTTTGTCCTTTGCATATTTCAAACTCTTTTTTTTTCCCAAGCTTTGACCAGAATTTTTATTGTTTACAGTTAAAGTTGTATCTAGTTTATTTTACTAGAGAAATAGAAGATTGTTGTCATTGTTATCATAGTAAAATATAGCTGTGTATTCATTTTTAGCAATTATTGTTTATTATCTTTCCCTCCATATATAAAATAATTTCTTCACAAGGTGTCCTTGAGGTTTTCAGCTTTTCATAAAGCCTTTAAACAAAGTGGACAGAAATATTAGAAAGAATAGTCTATTATACTACTAGGTCTAATTCCCAGGTTATTCCAGTTTTGTACATCACAGGTATAATTGGGTATGTCAAATCAATAGGTCGGAAATGGCCAGAGAGGCCTCATAATAAGCCTCTTCATGCATGGATTCTACAGATATCTGACAATAAACCCCTGGAGATTTTACAATATAGAGCAACTAAAGTCCAGTTTCAGAACAAGAGGGAAATTCTGGGTGTTGGGTATTGGGAACCTGGTGGTTTAATGACTAAGTTGCATCTGACTCTTTGTGATCCCATGGACTGTGGCCTACCAGGCCCCTCTGTCCATGGGATTCTCCGGGCAAAAATACTGTAGTGGGTTGCCATTTCCTTTTCTAGGGGATCTTCCCGACCGAGAGATTCCAACCGTTGTCTCTTGTGTCTCCTGCAGTGGCAGGCGGGTTCTTTACTAATGGGAACCTGGAAAATAGCCAAACCTTCCTTTAGGGCTAAAACTCTTAATCAAGCTATCATATTTGTTGGGAAACTATAAAATATACTGGCTCAGATTTCATTAAAATTTCCCCCACTGCCCATTCTTTGAAGGTGGGATAATAGATAGAGGGTGAGTAAAATATCAACTGAGACTAAAAATCCCAAACCAGGACTTTGATTCCTAAAGCAGTGTAACAACAGATTGTCATCTCCTGAGGGTGGTGCCTCCCAGGGCAGGCCCCCGGAACAAACTGGATTGCCCCACATCCCCCTCATTCACACTCTCTCTCGGCTGAGCCACGAGGCTTACAGGAACGTAGTCCCCCAACCAGGATTGAACCTGCTTCTTCAGCAGTGAAAGCACAGGGTCCTAACCACTGGACCACCAAGGAATACCCCCACCCCCACCCCCCCAATGTCACTCTCTTGGTCCAAAGATATTGCCAGGAGAAAGAGATTTAGGGAGAGAAAGGAAGAAGGATGGAAGATAAGGTATAAAATACGCTTTCAGAAGACAACAACTAGCAATTCCATCTACAGGGTTTTTGCTCCACTTCAAAATTTTAGTAAGCTTTTTACACAGCTTGATGGAGCCTAAGTTTTTACCATATGGCTGCATTTGTTTGGCTTAAGATTTCGCTAAGCTTCTTAAAATGGAAATACCTCTGGGACACAAATGCCTGCTGAGCAGGGAACAGTGACAGTGACCATAGGAAGTGGTGGGACTGTGGCGGATTGGAGAAGACACCCCTGTCCCCAGGAGCAGTCTTTGCTTGGCTCAGCCAGCTGTTCACAGGCAGTGATGTGGCCTTTGTGATTTTTTTTCAAAAGTAGAAATCCGCATTTGTGTGAGAAATTTCATGATTTTTAAAGTGTTAGCAACTAATCCCACAATTAAAAAAACACACAGGAAAAGCCAAACAAAACACATCTGTGGGCTGGATGCTGTCCATGGGCCACCAGTTGGTGACCTTTGTGTTGGACTTGGTTCACTGGACAGCCCCCTGGTGAAAGAATTTATCACCTCCTTTGCTAGAACAGAACAGAAAGTGGGAAGAGATGGAGGGCCTTGTTTGCGGAGCTGAGCGAAGACAGAGAAGAGGTGGGCAGGGGGAGAAGCCACAGTGAGACCCTCACTGTTCTGAGCAGGCTGGCCCCCGGCCATAAAGCCCTGGATGTGCTGTCTTCCCGGCAGCTGGACATGAAAGACTAAGTCAGATCCTCCTTCAGGATGCTGTTAATTCCAAATGGGAGCCTGCAGAGTCATTCTCCCCATATGGAATTCATAAAGGAATGTAAAAAATATTTTCTGGGGGAATATACAATATCCCTGAGAGATAATTAAGTTCATATGAAAGCTACTTACAGGTGATTCTTTCCTAGTCAATGATTAAACAGATCTCTAAAGACTTTACCCAGGCAACATTCCTTAGTCTTATTTGTTACATTAAAAAAAAAATTATAATGTGTCATCTTAGCTTGTTTAGATGGACTGAGCTCTGAATGTAAGATCTCACTGTGTTGCACTGAGACTGCCCACACCCCTCAGGTGAACGGCAAAGAGGATCATCCCTTCACCATGGGTTGGTAAATGTCCCACTTTTTTTCTTCCAACACTTGTCAAGAAAAAAAAAAAAGCTTTATGTTTGAAATATGACGAATGGCACATATTTCAAGTGTACCACTTGGTAAGTTTCGACATATGTGTGTAACCATGAAACCATCACCAGTCAAGATGAGAAACATACCCATCACCTACAACCACAAAAGTTTCCTTGTACCCTTTAGCATGTCCCCTATGCTGCTTGCATGCTAAGTCGTTTCAGTTCTATCTGACTCTTTGTGACCTATAGACTGTAGCCCACCAGGCTCCTCTGTCCACGGGATTCTCCAGGCAAGAATACTGGAGTGGGTTGCCATTTCCTCCTCCAGGGCATCTTCCGAACCCAGGGATCGAACCCGCGTCTCCTGTGGCTCCTGCATTGCAGGCGGATTCTTTACCACTGAGCCGCGGGGAAAGCCCATAGCATGTCCTCCAACCTCCAGGTAACTGCTTAATCTGCTTTCTGTCATTAAAGGTAAATTTGCATCTTTTTGAATTTTGTTGGAATGGAATTATATACTGTGGCCTCTTTGATTTGTTCAGCATTTCTTACTCAGCGTAATAATTTTGAGGTCCATTATAAGTATTGTGTTTATCAGTTCTGTTGCTGCATAGTATTCCATTATACAAAAGTAAGAATTTATACTTATTGATAAAAGTGTATCATATATTTGGGTGTTTTCAGTTTGGGGCTCCTTACAGTTGGGCTGCCAAGAACATCTGTGTACAAGTCTTTGTATGATTGTGTGCTTACATTCTGCTTGGTAAATAAATACCTAGAAATGGAACACCTGGGTCATATGGTCCCCTATATACTTAACTTTTTTAGGACATAACAGCTGTTTTCCAAAGTGGTTATACCATTTTATATTCCCATCAGCAGTGCAGGAGAGTTCCAGTTCCTTATATCATCTCCAATACTTGATACAGTCTGTTGTTTTGGTTTAACCCATTCTAGTGGGGATGATGTGGTATGCTGGTGTAGTTTTAATGTACAAATTTCTAATGAGATCTTATGTGCTTATTTGCTATGTATATACCTTCTCTGAAGTGGCTGTTGAGACTGTTAATCGTGTTGTGTGGCATTACTGAATTTGAGAGTTCTTTATGTGTTCTGGATTCAAGACTTTTATCAGATAAATGATTTGCCAATATTTTCTTCCAGTCTGGTCTTGTTTTTCATTCCTTAAACAGTGTTTTTTTGAAGAGCAGAAATTTTAATGAAGTCATTTACCAATTTGTCCTCTTTGTGCTTGTGTGTCAGATTGTGCTTATGTGTTGTATCTAAGAAATATTTGCCTACACCAAGGTCATAAAGGATTTCTATTATGCTTTCTTCCGGAAGTGTTAGAATTTAAACTTAGGCTTTTAAAAACAAATAGTTTATTTAATTTTAAAAATTGAAGTATAATTGACCTACAACACTATGTTAGTTCCAGGTATACAACACAGTGGTTCAACATTTCTATATTATACAAAATAATCACTTCTGTTCCCAACTGTTTATGAGAACTGGTGTCCCAATTTATTGAAATATCTCCTTCCCTGTTCCTACAAAGGTCAGCCTTTCCTACCTCCGGGATGAGGAGAAACACAGACCACGATGACGGAGACCCACCAGATGTGCGCAGGAAGTGGCCATCCAGTGCTGGAGAGGACCGGGCCATGCTGCTGGGGTTTGCAATGATGGGTTTCTCTGTCCTAATGTTCTTCGTGCTTGGAGTAACCATCCTGAAGCCCTTCTTGCTCAGGTGAGAACAGAGAGGAGACGTAACATTTATCCTAGGTGTAGGCACAGTGGTAGAAGAGAGGGGAGGCTGGCTTTGCTATCTCCAGAATCCCTGTTCCTCTCTTAGTGCTGGGAGGCAGCTGGGTGTGGAGGAAGGGGTGGTGAGAAAATGAAAGATATTCTTTTGCTGCTCCCCTCCTCCAGTCTCCAAAGTCTTTCAATAGGGGGTCCACATATTCAATATCCCTGCAGGTAATACATTCTTTAATACACTAACATCCTAGGGAAGGAGATGAGCATGAGTTTCTGCATGAACATAACAAAAATTTTTTGAGTCTTGAGTTTTTGAGTTTGGTAATGTCTACCTGGCACGTAGTAGTTGCTCAACAAATATTAGTTTTCTTCTTTTTAAGTAGTTTCCTTATTAAACACATGTAAAAAGTTACCATATATCAAACATATATATATATATATTTTCATTTATTAGTTGGAGGCTAACTACAAAGAGTCGGATACAACTGAGCGACTGAACTGAACTGAATTACGATATTGTAGTGGTTTTTGCCATATATTGACATGAATCAGCTGTGGATTTACATGTGTTCCCCATCCTGAACCCCCCTCCCACCCCCCTCCCCATCCCATCCCTCTGGGTCATCCAGTGTACCAACCCTGATCACTTGTCTCATGAATCCAACCTGGACTGGCAATCTGTTTCACACTTGATAATATATATGTCAAACATATATTTTATCCCTATATAAACTTACAGCAAGTCCATGAATGAAGCATTATTTTATTCCTTTTTCACTTTATGAATGAGAAATCTCAGGCTCAGAAGGGCCAAGGAAAATACCCAAGGTTAATACCACCACAGAGTTTTCAGGGGCAGGACATTTGTCTACCCCTTCTCACTGTATCTATGACATTCTCTGTGTGTGGTGTGTGTGCAAATCCTTAAGGAATGTTTTCCAAGTAATATTTAAAAAAATAATTGTTATTTATTTGGGGCTGTGCCGGGTCTTTGTTGCTGCGCGGACTTTTCTTTAGTTGCGGCAAGTGGGGCTGCTCTTGAGGTGTGGTGCGCGGGCTTTTCATCGCTGTGACCTCTCCTGTTCGGAGCACAGGCTCTAGGGCCCCCAGGCTTGGGAACTGGCATGCGGGCTCAGTAGTTGCGGCTCCTGGGCTCTAGAGCACAAGCTCAGTAGTTGTGCGGGGGCTTAGTTGCTCCGAGGCATGTGTAATCTTCCTGGATCAGGGATAGAACCCGTGTTTCCTGCATTGGAAGGCAGATCCTTTACCACTGAGCCACCAGGGAAGCCAAGTAAAGCTCATTTTCACCAGGACAAGCCAGTGGGTGGATCTTGAGTTGATGAGGCAGGAAGAGATAGTAAGATTTCTGAGTGTGAATTTTTGTGGTTATAATACTTAGGTTAATATTGCTAAAAAGTATGTCTCCCCAAACAACTTAAATACTGTTAAATTCACAGATTTCTGGGCCTCAACTTGGATCAACTGAACCCAAATCCCTGGAAGTCAGAGAAACCATGTTTTAACAAATTCCTCATTCTAACAAACCCATTCAGGTGATTCTGAAATTCAAAAACCATTTATCTATAGTGAGAAATACACCAGGAGGGTCATAACTGAGATGGAACTTGGTACCTTGCTGCTGTTTATCCCGTTGCAAGGTTCTTGTGCTCCTGAATCGCTAAATGCCTTCCGTGATGGGTCCTATGTTGTTTTGAAATAGACAGGTGCCTTCGGTTATCACATTAGAAATATAGGACTAAATTTTCTAGGGAAGAAAATCATTTATTTACTTTTCCAAATGGAAGCACTCAGAAGAATCGAACTGCACTATCATCCTTGAGCACATCATGGACGACTGGATGGACTGTGCATTTACCTGTGGGATGGACTGCCGAGGTCAGGGCAAGTACCCGTGTCTCCAGGTGTTTGTGAACCTCACCCATTCAGGTCAGAAAGTGCTCCTACATTATAATGAAGAGGCTGTCCAGATAAATTCCAAGGTAGTGTATATTTCATGTGTGAAAGTGCTCCAATTACAGCAACCTTGCCATGGCAGACTGTCCCTAGCAAGGTGCAGTACCTAGGGCCATCTCTAGATAAAGCTGTTTTCTTCCCGTGAACATCTCAATAGTGACCCAATCAGGATAAATGAAGCTAAAAGCATTCCTGGAGGAAAAATGGAATATGTAGAAAAGAGAGTTCATATTGGTGTCTGGAATTTAAAGACTTGAGACAGTGAACAAAATTATTTGTAGGTAGTCTTAACTTATTGTTGGGAGATCCCATTCCTCATTGTATTGAAAATGTTAAAATGAACTTACAGCCCACCTTAAGCCAAACAAGTAATTATTATCAAAGAAATTTAAGGATTATCCTTTAAAGGACACTCAACAGGTTCATATGATTTAAAAAGAGTACATTTTCACCTAACTATAAAAAGTTGACTTAAATTAGTTGACATTTTACACTTCTTTGTGTTTGCTTAAGCACTTGTTTCAATCTGGTGATTTGTTTTGGATGCCATAACCTTTAAGGTCTCAAATGTTTTGTAGGCTGATGGCAGAGTGTCTTGAATGCTTAGTGGATATGGTGATAAACTCAGTGTCTTTATTCCCACATCTTTGTTTAGTGCTCAGAAATGGCCAGTTCATTATTTGCCCTCCTGGCACCCCTTCCCCATGAGCTATGTAATAGGTCTTGTCACCTTCAGAGATTAAAACTCTTAATAGCTTCAGTTGTGAAGTGATTTCAGAATTAAAACTTTTAAGCGCTTGATTTCAGAGCCAGCGCCCTCCTGTTTCTTCCTCCTCCATATTCCTAGTGCTTCTACACACCTAAGTGCCACCGGGATAGAAATGATTTGCTCAGTGGTGCTCTGGACATAAAGGAATTCTTCGATCACAAAAATGGGACCCCGTTTTCATGCTTCTACAGTCCAGACAGCCAATCCGAAGATGTCATTCTCATAAAAAAGTACAACCGGACGGTGATCTTCCACTGTTTATTTTGGCCTTCGCTGACCCTGCTGGGTGGTGTCCTGATAGTTGGCATGGTGAGATTAACACAGTACCTGTCCTTCTTGTGTGAAACACAGCTCTGCATTCAGAGATGAGGTAAGTGGCAAAGTTCCTTACACTGCACAGCATCAATGCAGACTGTGGCATGTGGGAAGGAGCAAAGGAAGGAGCAGAGAAACCTTAAGACGATGGCCAAGTTCAAGTCCTGGCCCTCAGGTACCTGCGGGGTCTGCACTTGAGGACCCGATTATGCCTCCTCGCAAACTAACCGTGTAGAAACAAAGCTTGGTTACTTCATGTGGGAAAGAAAAGTGTTAAAAAGTCTCATTGTGTACTCTATTCTATAAATAAATATAAATTCACCATCTTTTCTATTCCAAATCTCTCCACATGAGCCAGGGAAGCACCTTTTGTTTCCACAGGGTAAAAGGAGCTTACGGTCATTGTGCTTCGTCTAGTATCAGCCCCTGCTAGAACCTGTCACTGTCGAAATAAGTGATGCAAGTTTCTAACCTGCTGAACACTGAACAGGCAGTCTAGTTCCACGCAATGCAGGGTACATTAAAACACTTGTCAAAAAAATCTTAGTGAAGAGCAGTTCATACACTACAGGAAGATAATAATCTGGTAATTTCAGAAAATATGGACCTACCATTTTACCTCATCATCCATGAGTAAAGAGGAAAGCTGCTGCCTGGGAAATTCACTAAGCTTAGTGTTACTGGTACTTAACTTGCCACGTACCATGTGATTTTTCTTTTAGAAACATTTCTTTCTAGTTAATTATGATTCCCATAAGTTCATTTTGCTCTGTGTACACTCTGGAGGGAGTGGGAGAGGTGGCTAGAAATGTTATCAAGTTAGGGAGAAGCTACCGGGTAGAATTTAACATTCATCTCAGATAATCCGCATCATAGAAAAGTCCCACATGGATAGTCAACAATTGTCCGGACTTTAATTAATTCATCAACCATGGTTATGAAATAGTATCACAAGACTCTCCCAACAAGTGCTTTTCAGATTAAGCTGAATATGAGTTGAAAACAGACTTCATTTTGAAAACCAATGTTCCTCAAAGTATCTTTACAATTTTACTAAAAAATCTTACATCATGGACAATAAAAAGGATGACTTTTGAAGCAACTCTGATACGTAGATGTAATCAAAACAAACTTTGATTCTCAGCCAATTTAATGCCTTTTAGCAGTAATTGCAAGTCACACATTATTAAACAAACTGAATAATAGAGCAATATTGACTTGACCAGCAGTGAACAATTTGGGTATTTTCTCCTCCTTCTAGTGTGGAACAGTGGAGATAACATGCATCTCAGAGCACAGCTTTTTAAAATTGGTGGGCCGTAATTACAGCTTTTCAGATATGTGTCCTTGGGCACGTCAGGTGAACTGAGCCTCTCTTCTCATCCGTAAGATGGGGATGGGTCTTTTCTTTCATGAGGTTATTTTTAGGGAAGAAAAAAGGCAAAGTATGTAAAACACCTAGGTTGGTTTCTGGTACCTAGTAGATAGATAACAAAACTTTTGCTAAGTTTCAATTTTTAGTTAGCCTTATTCCTCTTCTGGGTATATACCCAAAGGAAATGAAATCAGTACCTTCAAGAGATACCTGTACTCTCATGTTCACTGCACACTATTCACAACAGCCAAGATATGGAACAACTTAAGTGTCCATCGACAGATGAATAAATTGTGATATATGTATATATATATATATATATATAAAATATGTGTGTGTGTAAACATACATACAATGGAATATTTTTCATCCTGAAAAAAAGAAGATCCTGACATTTACAACAACATGGACGAACCTGGAGGGCATTATGCTAAGAATAATCCAGACACAGAAAAGAAAAAACTGCATTTCACTTATATGTGGAACTAAGAGAGTCAAATACATAAAAAGCAGAGAGCAGAATGCTGGTTACCAGGGGCGGGGTCGGGGAAATAGGGGAGACATTGGTTAAAGTGTACAAACTTCATTATAAGATGAATAAATCTCATGATCTAATGTACAACATAATGACTATAGTTAATAATACTGCATTGAATACCAGAAGTTTGCTAAGAGTTTAGGTGCTCTCATCATACACACACACACACACACACACACACAAAGGTAACTATGTGAATGATACATTAACTAGCTGGACTATAGTAATCATTTTATTATGTATATCAAATCACCATCTTGTAAACCTTTAAGTATGTACAGTTCTTATTAAAGATAAAATAATTCAACCAGTCTTGGTACCTTTTGTTGGACAGCTGGAACAGGGGCTGGGGTAAGGAGCTGCAGGAGCCGATTCCTCCCCACTTTTTCTTGGCTAAGTGTGGTATGTATCTAGAGTTCAGAACATGCTACTTAGAAGGCTGTAGTAGATTATTTTGTATGCCAAAATATATAAAATATATGTATGCATACACTTTTTAAGTCATTCCGCAAATTGAGATTCTCTAGATTTCTTAAATTAAGGTCACATATCTATTCCATTTCTTAGTAAGTTTGACACCCACCTAACAATATGCAGTTCTTTGGATTTTTCTAACAAATTAAAAACAATCGGAAACCTAAAGCATATGAAAGTGTGAAACCTGAAGTGTTTCAAATACTATAGTTTTCCACTTATATAGTAGCTACTTGGCTCATCTCAGGAAAGAGAGACATTATGCTTGAATAACAAAGTCAATTTACAACGTTAACTCAAACCATTTGGCAAATGAAAATTTTAGCAATTATTTGCTGTGAACTGCTTAGAAGCACTAAATATCAATGCCCATGTGCATTACTGGTCCAAGAAAAGCCCAGACTTACCTTTTGCAAGGTTTATGATAGCTGAATGCAAAACCAGTTCGCTTCTAGATGAACTTCACTTTTAGGTTCTGGTCATCAATTGACTTGGGAAAAAGTCTGTCCACACATACAGACACATTCATACATGTATGTGTACACATGTATCTCTGCTTAAAATACAAGCATATAATTCTTCATGTTTAAAGGAAGTTAATATTTAAACTGATATTTCTCCAATATGCATCATTTTACTGTGACAGAAAAATTGGCTTTTAAGGCATAATAGTTTCAGGTTTTCAATCAACTATACTTAGTCATCATTGATAAGAAAAATTCAGCTAAATTTTGATTATTACCAACAGTGGTTTGCTGTTAAGTATTTAAAAGATGGTTTGTTGTTAAGTATTAAATGGCAAAAGTAATTATCACAGTTTTTTTGTTCAACATATAGTACACTAAGGACTGTTTGGACACAAGTAATTGTTTTTTTTTTTTAATAAACAGCGTGATGTTACAGACTGCAAAGTTAAAGCAGACATTGACAGTTTCTGATGAGCACAAACAGGAAGTGCAGTCACAGGCCAAACTTCTTGCCAGGAAGAGCACGATTGGGTCGAGGTCTTAAATTTAGTGACACTGTTATTATTCTATATTCTCAGTACAGTAACACATGCACTTGCTGTGTCAAATACTTTTCCGGGCCATCACTGAAAGAACACTTAAAAACATTTTCCTCCTAACTAATGTGGTATACTACAGGACTCTTAACTCAATGAAAGACAAATATAGATAAATAGATTTGTGACAATAAATGGGGCTAAAGAGGGTGATGGGAGCTCCTTTTTGAAGCTTCCAAAGTCAACACTGGAGGTGTCAGTAGTCTATGGTAGTGTCACATTCCCAAGATGTTGAAGTGTTATGTTCTAAAAGGATACATTCTTTTAGATTTTATTCAACTGAAATAAAGTCTTAGGACTAAACCACACTGAAAACATTAACTGCATTTGAAACTTTGGTTCCATAGCCAAAAACATTTCTAGAAATCATGAAGGCCAAGCTCTCCAATAGGAATATAAATCTGATAAAGAGTTTTTTTCTTATGAAATCAATGGCTAGTGACCACATTTGGAAATCTGCACTAGAATTAAAGAGGTTAGTCTTATTAAAGATTCTGAGAAAATAATAGAACAGTGAAGGTTCTGCCTCCTTGCTATCTTAGAAGGATTAACAAAAGTAAGAATCACCAGAAATATACATGGCTCTTAGCATAACCACAGAATTATTATAGTGAGAGATTAAATAATATTTTAGATAGATTCATAAACTTAATGCTTACAAAATGCATTATCCTTCCCATACTTACCAACAAGAGGACTGGAGTCAACTGTTGGTAGTAAAAACCAGCTACCCACCTATGCTAATATGTACAGTGGACTGATCTTTTTTCTTTGTTGCTAAAACTCTTAAATGTAGTTGTGTAAAAATTAAGTCATAAGATTTTCTTATGGCTCATAACTATCTCTTTATGCTAACTAGCATGGCTGAAATATAAACATAACTAAAACCAAGCAAAAGGAATGGCGCTGCATTGACAAAAAGTGCAAACCCTTACTCAAGTGAAGTCCTTGGATGAAATAAGCTTGTAAAAATTAACATCCCAACTTGGGAAACTCCTAATCAATTCTAAACTCTTCTGAATTTTAGAACCTTGATGTTTACACCTTTTATAAATGATGTCTCTTGACTGGGGTTAGCAAGTACTGTGTATACAAATATAAATGTCTGCAAATATACACACATCAATTTCAATAACAATTTCAAAGGCTAAATTCAGGAACCTAGTACCATGAACCTCCTAGCACTACTACCTTTTCCAAATGGCTGGAGCAATGATTAAATTTTAACCCAAACTTTTTCTAAATGTATCCAATGCCATTAAAAACAAGACATGCCAACTCTGACTTTATAAATCTAAAATACAGTGCTCTGCAAATTTCTGTAATATCAGAGCCAAAAGTATTGAATTGTGACTCATCTACTTTTTTTCCTTATTAACCTTCTGAGGTAGAATTACCCATCCAATTTTATCAGGACCATACTTATCTTGAGCTGAACCCTATATTCTTTTCAGAAAGTGAAAATAACTCTTAAGAGAAAAGAAAAAAGGCTTCCCAGGCCATGGTACATAAGATACATTTACAATTTTTAATGTGATAATTAAAAAATAAAAATGGTCTTTATATTTTAAAAAACAGCCCAGCTGTATTATTCTCTATCACCAAGAATTATTATCTGAAGATTCTGTCAGTGCTGATTTGTATAGTTCAGCCTTCACAATCCCATCCTTGATGAAGAATTAACTCCCTCATGGTGTGCACAATATATTCTCACAGCTTTCAGCCTTCTTTTAGTGCCCAATCCGAGCAGGACGGATATGAAGAATGTAACTCATTCAAGCAACTCCTCCCTGTTCTGCCCCCTCCCTTCACATTCCCCTCTTCTCAAAAATATCTGAAGTATGAAAGTTGTTTTTAAATAGTAGAAGCACCACAATCCATTAACACCACATACGGTCTTTAAACTGAAATATTTTAGTGATGTCTTGGACATCAAAATCAATTTTTAAGATGGATTCTGAATGTGTGGGTCCAGCCCAGGTCTGCAGTTTGTGCAGATATAGAAACAAAAGGAATTTATAACGTTCAGAAAAAGTTAACTTGCTATGTTTAAAATAATGCTAGAAATTATATTTCTTCAAAAGGTTGCAAACATGAACTACTGATCAGGATATGAATTAAATGGATTTACAAATCATTAAGAAACAAATCCAAGTTTATGTACTGTGAAATTTCCATGGTGCCTTTAAAATAGATAAGCTGCTCATAAATTTTTTTAATAAATGCCAAATCACTAGATTTTTGATGGAAAAAGAATACAGATGGACTGTGTTTTACCTATGTGAAAATCACCAATCCATTTAAAATAAAATCTAAGAGGATATATACATTCTAATCAAGTATTTGATTTTTTTCCTGATTAATAAGAACTACACTTTACACAAAATACTTTATCAGCAGCTGTTTTCTTCAAAAAAACCAATAGTCATAGTTTCACAGTTGAAAAAGTTACACATTAAAATATTTTACAATTCATTATATATTCACCAGGTTCCCATTTCCTAAAGGGCTTATAATATAAAGCAGATTAGAAGGGAAAACCTCAAAAGTTGATTACTTTGACACTAAATTTTACAGAGGACACTAAGAACCACAAAAAGCTTAGGTTCTATCATAAAATAGTGACCAAATTCCATTCTTCTTTAAAAAATCCAATTAGAAACATCTTTTTTAAAAAACCAAATTCTACAACATGATTAACAGATTTCAAATTAACAGCATTCTGAAAGTCTTCAAAATAAATGATTTTATATCGCTGAAAATATGATAAAAAGTTAAAGCATGATTTTCAAATAGTTGATTATTTCTTGCGAGAATGTGTTGAAATTAAGTTTTATTTTCTTTAAACCTATTTTTCTTTTCTCCAAAATAGTCATTAAAGGAAATATTGCTCAAGTGACCAAATGAACCTGTCAAGTCAATAGTCAGTTATACCACATTCAATGACAAGGACCGGTGGTCACAGGAACTGGCCAGTAGGAACTGATCTCTGATACTGAAGTACCTGGAAGTAGCTATGCTATCACTGACTTACTTGAAACACATCCTAGTCATCCCACGTAGCATTTAATTCAGTTTTTGGTTCCTTGCTTTCTGAGGACTACCTGTCCCCCTTTCCCTTATTTTTAATGTTGTTCGCATCAACTCTGCTTGGATATGTTTGAAATACACTTTGTTTTTAGCTAGTTCACTTAATCTATAGTCTTTATTTGTGGAATCTGTCTACATTTCATCCAATGGAATTAATTTGGTTGTAATAACTCTTAAAATTCGGGATAAAATAAGCTCTGTGGCTTGTCTTTCAGTGGCAGAGAGATCCTAGGGGAAGGGACTATCTGGACTGATGTGAAAAATGCAAAAATTATATTAACTTTGTACAAGGAAGCTCAAAGCTTTTTTGGCACTCAGTAAAACACAGTTAGTTCTCTGTTAAAATCTCAGTTTCCACCATCAAAACTTCTTTCGAAGTTGTACTATTTCACTGAGCTTTCCTGTAATTAATCCCTAATACAGAAAATACTGGGATGTTAGTATGTATTAACTGAATAAATCTAAAAGACAAAAAACATTAATCACAAAGGTTTAATAAGTTTGAAATTTCCGATATCTGCAAAAGAATCTATCTGGTCTCCTGCTTAAAACAGTTTAAATTCTCCTTAACTATTCCAAGACAGTTTAGAGAAGTTTCCCTAATTTTCAAATTAATCTTTCTTATTGGCAATATTATGTACACACTTTAGTGAGGTACCTAGGTCTCCAATAATTATGCCCTTTAAGGGTTCTAAAATAGCCAAATATTAAGAGTATCTGTATTAGAGTCCCTGTTTACTATCCAAGACTTCTACTATAGGTAACTGATTTCATAAGTGGATATTTTAAAGTGATGCTGTATACAATATGCACTCTTCATAAAGTTGTACTCCAATAATAAACCTAGTCTAGAAAACTGTCAGTAAATTATTGCACTTTTTCTGGTGTGGCACCTGGACATTTGCTAAAGCTATTTCCTAGGGCATTAATCATTCATTTCAAATACTCAGTAAAATATCAGATTATAGAGTGATGACTAGCTTGAGCCCCTACATCCAGGGTTAACATTTTTCAAAATGTTTAAGGATGTATCTTGTGCTCAAATGCTATTTAATAAAGTTGGAAAGTGAGCCCTGATGACTCAGAAATGGGACATGATCTTAAAATGGTGTAAGGTCCTAATTTTACTAGGGAGATATTGAGTAAATAGCCTAAAAAGGCAAAAAGTTCATGATTTCTATTGCCCTTATTATAAAGTATTATTCATGGGCATACCTGGGTAGAGGGGTGAAGCAATTAGGAAGATAGTCTAAACTGTGTTAATTTGGCAACTAATTTCATATGACTGAGGCATTCTCAGCTATAAAAGAGGATGGAAGATGGGCGATTCAAGTGAAAACAGAAGAAAATGAAAGAGGAGAACTTTTAAATCTGTTTTCCTTAAGTAGTTATATACTAGTCATTGGTATGAGATAGTGCCTGAACCTTACCCACAGATCAAGAAAAAAGCTGACCATGCTGCTACAAACAATAAAAAATTTGGGGTGCAAAACAATGCATGACTATGGGACAGATCATGTAAATAAAGAATATATATTAATGATAGTTTCTATAATATAAATAGCCTTTAATAAAAAAAATAATCTTTTTAATAACATTAATACTCACTTCTATTTTCTGGAAAACATGCATGAAAAATGTATTCAATTCATTGCAAAAGGAGAAAAAAAGTCAATCTAAGGTGAATACTGTACAATTCTGGAGCAAGAATTATTCCTGCTCATTCTTTCTCTACGATGATTATTTTACTTTGTGGGAGCCCAGAATTTCCCTGGGAAATAAGAATCAGATTCTTGTAAATACTGTCCAGGAAAAAAAAAAAACAAAACTCAAAATACCACCTTATAACAGGTCTCATTTGTGACTGCTTCCCAAACTTTGCAGATAAGACCCCAAATCATCAAAAGGTTTGATTTATTAAAAAAGAAAAGTCTCTGTTGAAATCTCAAGAGTCCCTTACACCCCAAGCATTTGTCTTCATCAAACAAGGAGTCAAAAACCCACTTCAAACTATAAATTGAACAGCAATGGAAAAATACGAAATTTTCATTATTTTCCAATCTTAAAGTAATTTAACATCAAACTCCAGTTTACTTGGACCTAATGCAATAATAGACTTTGTTGTGTCCACATTTCAAAACAGAAAACATTTGCAAGACAAAAAGAGAACATCATCCTTTTTCCTTCTCCATCATTTCTATATATTTTGGGGTTTTTTTGTTTTGTTTTTTAAAAAAAGATACAAACAATCTTTAAAGTTTACCTTTTTGGACTTAAGGCATAACATGAAATTGCGCATTATTCTAAAGCTTAATTTTGAAATGAACTAGTTTAGTGCTATCAAACCCTGTTTGCGTTTACATTATTTAAATTATATAGTATTTTATTTCTGTTCTTGCTGTAAATTCTAATGCTGTTCATGGATTGTGCAATTCCTATGCAATCAGTCTTTGCCTGTTGACAGTTATTAACAGTGCAGTATAGAATCCAGATACTGAGCTTTTAGTTTCTTAGTTATCATTTCAGTTCAAAGCATGCTGCTTAATTGTGTGGAAGATCCAATCCATTTTTGTTGTCCAGCCACCATGGTGTGCATCATTCATTTGTTTCATGAAATATTCCAAAGCCTCTTGCTCAGTTTTATCTAAAGCTAGGGTCTTTCGAATGTATGCAATATCATCAAAAGATTGTAGTTCTGGCATTCCAGAGCCAAGCATCATTGAGAAAAGATTTATGAAGAGATTGGCATGCTGCCGAATAGCTAGATAAGCCTTGTAACACATCTCCTGAAACCTACAAGTAATAAGAACAGTTTGGTCAGTATGGAGTAAATCCTGTTAATACCTTCAGGTCTCTGCTCAAATGTCACATAGTTATAGAGGCCTTCTTAGACAAAACTGTAACATATAGCATTCTTCTCCCTATTCCTCTTAACAACACTTTATATTCCCTGACCTGACACTAGAATGTGAACTCTATGAGTCCATAAGGAGTTTGTTTACTGCTGTCACCAACCCCCAAAATAATGCCTAGCACATTAGGAACAGAATAAGGATTTATTAAATGTATGAACTAGTCTATAATAAAGCCTTTAGGGTTGGGTTAGGGCCAGGACTAAGCTATAGATAAAAGAGAATTTTATAGAAGGTTTTTAAAAGTACATTAAGGTTTTCAGATAGACTAATAATACTCCCTAAGGTGGTAAGAAAAATTATGAACAAACATGGTATTCACGGCTGACTGAATCCCTTACACTGTATGACTAAAAAGTACTGTATGCAGCACACTATACATGATTTGTTAATACAGAGAAGATGGACTCCAATTTTTAAACAGCAGTAAAGAAAAACTTTTACTGTTCAAAGAGTTTAAAGATCACTTCCTTTTTAGGCCCTAACTAATTCAATAAGTTAAACTGGTTTTTCTTTCCATTTCCTTCACAGCATTACACAATAAACACATAATTATTCAGTTTATACTACAATGTTAATATAACATCTATTATTTTAAATTGCTTGAAAAATATCAATTGCATATTAGCAAGAATTCTTTAGCTTGTGCTTTTGATTTCTTCTGCTTACCTCTCAAATTCTCTTGTCTTTGTGCATTCTTGGGCTCCTTTACTAATCACTATTAAGAAATCTTGTGTCAAAACAAATGGCACACGCTCTCGTTTATAACCAAATTTTTTCTTCTTGTGATCCAAAAAGTGTCCAAAATCTATATGAAACAGCTTTCAAAAATAAGAAATTATGTTAGTTTGACAAATGCAGAAATACAATGTCCCGAGTTAGTAAATTTAAGAATGTCAACATATTTAAAAAGAGGAAACTATTACTTGTCCATCATCTTTAACCATGATATTACTATTGTGACGATCTCCAATTCCCAAAATGAAGGTGGCAACACAATATCCAGCACATGATCGTGTAAACAGATCGATGGCTGCATCATATCTACAAAGAAATAAGCATGTGTTAGTATGGAAGTACAGAATGATCCAGTCCAAACTGGGAAAACATGGTCAGAGTCACTAGTGAAGTCTGTATTAAAACAATGAAAACAATCACTGACATTAGGGCAAGGAAGTAATTATGTTAAAAAATCTGATGAACTTTAGGATTCAGAAGTTATCAAAGGTATCTAAGAAAACTTCTAGATATTCTCTGACCAAAGCATAATTCTTATAGTGAAAAAATACTTAGCGTGTTATTAAAATAAAATTTTTGAATCATTTTAACAATGAATAGGGAGTAAATTTTTTCATTTTAATTTTTATTAATTTAATGTTAATTTAACATTAACTTCTAAAAAAAGAATAAGCATTAAGAAAAACAGATTTTAGATTCCTGGATTTCACCAAATTATAAGCAATTCTGATCATTTAAATGCAGTAACCTCAAACGTTTCAAAGGCTGAACATATCTTTTTCCAAAGTAAATACAATTTTTTCTTCTGGTCTAACTCGAAATATACACAATGATTAAAAAACTTATCTGTCAGAAAGTTAGATTAACACAGAAGCAAAGGATAATAAGCGCACATTTCTCCCTTGTTCTTGTCTTTGAGCCACTGATGGAGGGTGTGGCTGTTGAACTGCAGAGCACCTTTCAGGCCTCCTTTACACTGAATCTGCATTATAGTGTGAGAATTTCTCACCACCTCAATCAGTCCCACACAGTCACCAATGGACAGACATCCGTAAGGTAACATTCTGAAAACGGATCAAGACATTTGCAATTAGTTGATGAAATTTTAAAACAGCAAATATTTTATCTTTTTTTTTTAATGTGAATATCTACTTGGATTCTAATTGGATTCATTAGGAGATTCATGAATCAAGTGGCATTCCATCTAGCAAAGGGTGCTCCCCAAAATAGCAAATATTTTAATGGGCTAATGAAGGAATATTCTATGTGCAAATTTGTTAAGTGGGACCTTTACTCCTTTAATCTAGTTTTAATTTTCTTTTATTACAGAATGACAAACATTCCTAGAAAAATCCTCAAATTATCTGCCATCATTTATTATAACCTTCAACTGTGAAAGCATTTAACTATACTTGAGAAAAGCATGAAGATCACTGTGCCAACTCAAAGTTTATAAACATTTATGACTTTAAAAATATGGGTGAACTTAAAGGTGTTTAATTGACATCTAAATGATAAGGTATCAGTTCTTAAGTTCTTAAGTTTTTAGTTTCAGGACTCCTTTACTCTTAAAAATCATCAAAGATACCAAAGAGCTTTTATTTATATGGGTTATATCCACTGACACTAGAAATTAAAATTTAAAAATTTCACTTTTTGTTAATTCATCTAAAGTAATATTTATATTTCTTTACATAAAAATACTTTTACAAAATCTTTTACAAAAGAAAAACCTTAAAAACCAAAAGAAACAAACAAAAAACCCTTAGAAGAGTGATATTGTTTCTCATTTTTTCAAATTTCTTTAATGTCTGGCTTAATAGCACCTAGCTGGCTTCTCATGTATGCTCTTGTATTCAATCTTATGCAAAGTTTTAACTGAAGCATATGAAGAAAATCTGGCCTCACACAGGTATGTAGCTGGAAAAAGGAGTATCGTAGTAGCCTTTTCAGATAATTTACAGATTTTTCCTTTACACTGTTCCAAAGCTTGATAAGAAAGTTTCTCAAGTTGCAGTATGGAAAGTGAAACCATATCAGTAAACTTTTCATACTCTGTTACGTGAAGACCCACCCATTTGTTCATCTTGCCTCTGAATGGAACTTTTACCCATACATGACTTAATAATATCCTACATTGGTCATTTGGAAGATATTAGTTCACTCAGATATGGAGATCTTTCAAATTATGGTACTTTTTTTCACTTTATCAACTAAAAAAAAAAAATCACAGTTGTTAACATTACCATTGATCTCATCAGAAAAATCTTTAATTTGGGGGAAGTTTACAGCAGTAGATACAAGGTTCTCAAAATTCTAATTTTTGCTTGAAAATTCAAATTTGATCCTTGACAACAAATGCTGTCAGTTTTTCTCTCTGAAGAGTCTCATATTGTTCATGCTCAAGAAATTGTTCATGTTCAAGAAAATGTATGCCAAACATCCATGTCTGAATAACCATATTCTCTCTATTAGTTGTTCTTTAAGTCAAAATGATGTTCCAGGATAAAAGCAGTTAGTTTAGCTCACAGCTCAAATAACCAACCAGTGCTTTTTCCTTGACATAAGCATACTTCGGTGTGAAGCAGAAGTGCTTTATGGTTACTTCCCATTCACCACACAGAACATAAAAAAGGACATGGAGTCTCAATTGGGAAGGCGATGGCCCCCCACCCCAGTACTCTTGCCTAAATCCCATGGACGGAGGAGCCTGGTAGGCTACAGTCCATGGGGTCGAAAAGAGTCAGACATGACTGAGTGACTTCACTTTCACTTTTCACCCTCATGCATTGGAGAAGGAAATGGCAACCCACTCCAGTGTTCTTGCCTGGAGAATCTCAGGGACAGAGGGCCTGGTGGGCTGCTATCTATGGGGTTGCATAGAGTCGGACACGACTGAAGCGACTTAGCAGCAGCAGCATGCAGTCTCAAGCACAGAGATGTAAGGATTTAAAGAGACAATGAAAAAAGTATCTAATATGACAATTGGCACATAGTACTAAATTATGGTTTTTATTGCTCTGTTGTTCTCATAGGCTACTTTTCATCTTTCCTTTACTTCTTAAATTCCTAAAAAAGTAATAGTTTAAACTTATTTTCACTTTCTCACTTAATTCCTTGTAGCCTAATTTCTGTGACTACCACTTTACTGACTCTTCTTAAAACTAACCATGAATCATCAAATCCAAAGGCTTTTTCATAGTCCTTATGTTCTTAAACTCCTGAAGCAACTGATACTGTAAATTGTTTGTAACTCTCTCCCCTCTTCTGGGATCTGTGAACTACTTACTCTGGTGTTCCTACACTTTTGATCATTTTTCTGTGATCCATCCCTCTGTTCTGGTAAATACAGGAATTTCTTAAGGTGGTACTCCTGACCACTTTTCCTTATTTTTATTATTATTATTGAACATGCTCATAGTTACATAATGGGTTACATAATCCAATAAGGATTTTCTAAAGGGTTACATAATCCTATAAGGCTCATTATTAAAAAATTAAACTTTAAATTTAAATTTACTTAAGTTAAAAGACATAACAACTTTCCAAAGATCCATCTTACTTTTCAATAATACAGCTAGCTTAACTCCAGATGCTTTTTTTGCACAGCCACTAATTTGCAATTTGACTCAAGATTAGTGAGTTTATAAAGTTTTAGAATTAGAAAACTAATATCATGAAAGAAATTTTCTTTTAAATTCTTAACTTCTGAATGAAAATTGGGGCCTTTTGTGTCTCATGTCTCCTATGCCCTGTTCCTAAAAACAGCTGGCCCTCCACAACTGTGGGTTCTGGATACTTGGCTTCAGCCAACTGCAGATGGAAAATATTTGGGGGGAAAAAAATCCAGAAAATTCCCAAAAGCAGAACTTGAATTTGCTGCACACAGGCAACTATTTACACAGCCTTTAATGATACTAGGTATTGTAAGTAATCTAGAGATGACAAAGTATACAGGAGGACGTGCATAGCTTTTATGCAAATACTATGCTATATTTTATACAGGGACTTGAGCATCTATGGACTCTGAAATCAGTAGGGATCTGGGAACCAATCCACTGCAGATACCAAGGGAAGACTGACAGTCTGGAGGCAACTGAAGAGTCTTTACCAGCTTATCAGAGACAGTTCTTCTAACCTAGCTGAATCTCATTAGTCATTCTGAGCCAAGAAAGAAGAGGATAAATGGAAAGTACCACAGTGTAATCAACTAGTGTTAGTTATTACTCTATACATTTATTTATAGATGTATGACTATATTCTTTCTAATTAATATACCTTACAATTAATATTTACTAATGGTTTACTTTTTCAGGATAACTTTCAACATACATGTCACCTTACTGGTTACCTACCGAAGATCAAGACCTTGATTTTGCCAGATATTTTCCATAATGCGAATAATCTGAAGGGTTAGCATATCTTGCCGTAAATCTGAAATTCAAATAATATGTACAGCACCACTTAATGCCACAAGCACAAATCTGAGTATCATATCATCACAATGTTTTCAAACAGAAAATATATAGAACTATATTTGCTCTTCAAAATAATCTGTAAGGAAGCAATAATCTGAGTTTTTTAACCATTTCTAAAGTATCTGCTTAAACACATCTGTATAACAATGGAGGGTAAGTGGGCATGATTTCATAAAAAAACATATAAATTACTTATTTTTCTGAAACCTTAAATTTGAACATGTTTATATTAAAATATTTGGATTAACAGATTTCAGGGCTGAAAGGTCATTTCCTAATGAAAACCCATCTAAGATACATTTGTTTAGAATACAAAAATATATTCCCCCACAGCCTATTCTCTAAATGAATTAGGACCTTCTTTCATGACTCCTTAGCAGACTATATCTACCAGGTTGTAGTTTTGTTTATGTAGTTATTTGTTCAATGTCTCTCTTTTCCCTGCTAGACTATAAATTCTAAGAAGGCATGGATTCCATTCTGTGTATTCTTACAACCTCAGGGCCTAGCATGTCAAATATTTATGGAGTGAATGGATATACATTTAAGCAAAATGATTTTCAGGCCTTCTGATTCTAAACCTAATACATCTTTTCATTTCAAGAATTATAAATACATATTCTAAAGGTTAAGACATCTGCTTAATATCACATATTTTACCACATGCATATTCCTTAAATGGCTTTCAATAATCTTCATGGTTCATAAATATCCTGTGTATAAAAATATAGCTAAGTTCATGTATCATAAGTCCATTAATACTCTTACCATCCCCATTTTTAAAGATGATCTCATTGTTCTGAAAGAGTAATTCTGACATGATGTCTGGGTTCTCCCAATTCAACCACAGTGGCCTTTTTGCAGAAGACATAATTCGACACTCTTCAAGCCTTTAACAGAGTTGAAAATTTTACTCGGCACCTTAGCTTTGTTATTCTTTATAGTCTCAATTTATTTCAAAATACATATACTGTATAGCTTTTTGAACTGTTACAGCAATTTTAAACTTTCTCCTCAGTTTTATGTATGAAATAATTTCTAAGGGCATATAAAGAAAAAATACATAATAAAAAGCTTAAAAATTTCTTCTACACAGAATATGAATTTTCCACAAATATAGGTATATATCATTAGTTTTACAGATATTACATTCTGTTTCTTATCCAATGATATCACAAATTCTGGCCATAGAAAGTTTTAAATTCTATTGTTAAACCAGTAAAAACTCATTCTGAATAAATGCGGTTCGGAACTTAAGAAAATATCAACTCTTATTTTGCAGGGTAGGAAAAGGAAAGAGATGCATATATTATTGAATACAATTATTATGGACATTTTTATTTTTTCAAGATTTTCTCCAAAGAAAGTATGTGTTTAAATATATGAATAAAACTGCCAATAAAGTTCCTTACCTGAGGTTTCCCAGCTGATGAGCAGGGTTTAGAGGAGACAGAAAGCCCTGGAGAGCATCCATGAAATCTGGTCGCCGCATTTGCTCAACTAAAAACTTCATCTGTACCTGACAGATAAGCATAATCACGGTTAGAAATTGACTTGATAAAAGGTAAAACTAATTGTTAGTATCTTTTACCCACTGGAACCTCATTAGTGTGTAGTTTTTGAATCCATATCCTGGACTGGCTGCATTCTAAGTAGAAGGGTCTCTATAACATTCTACAACACAGAGCAGCACAACTCAGGCAGAGAGGTGGGGATTACAGTACTCTCACTTCCTGTAAGAAGGTACTGTATCCTGACAGAGATAAGGCACGGTCAACTATGGCTTGTAAGTCAGCCGCTGGTTTTTGTAAGTCAAACTGCATTGGATCATAGTCACATCTATTCACTTTGATAGTTGCCTTTACAGTAGAATAGCAGAGTTGAGTAGTTAAAACAGACTGTGTGGCCTGCCAAGTCTAAAATATTTACTATCTAACTTTTTAAGAAAAAGTCTGCAGATCTTTCTTCTAGAGGAAAAACTATGGAGACATCATGTTAGCTTAGCTTAATAGTCTGACTTTTAAGCTTTTCAGAAAACACCACATTCTTTGTTCAGTAAAGAAGGTCTAGAAGATTGTTGGGAAAAGTCTCATGCTACTAAGTTCTAGTACATAGCTGGAAAGAAACATCCTTTTTAAATCACTTTTTTAAGTCTACTGTAGTAGACTTAGTCTACTTAGTTACACCAAGTGAGACTGCAGATGACTTGAGTGTGTGAACTATTCACTGCGTGACCAAGTCCATTTTAAGCTTAGAAATACAGAAACTAAATTTCTTTTCACACATTTTCAGGGTCATTACTAATAGAAAAGAAATGACACAGAGCAAGGAAAAATCAATTTCAACACTTAGGGCTAAAACAACAAGGTCCTAATGTATAGCATGGGGAACTATATTCAGTATGTTGTGATAAACCATAATGGAAAAGAATATTAAAAAGGGCTATATAAAGGAGAAAGGGATGTAAAGAGGAAGGAACTAATATTTACTGGGCACCTTCCATGTTCTGGAGACTATGACAGGTACTTTGTGTATCTGGTTTGATTTAATTCTCACATTAACCTTATGAGGAAAGTATTAGTCCCATTTTATAGATGAGGGAAACGAATTTCAAGAGACTAAATTATGTGTTTAACATTACACTGCTTAGATCAAAATCTTAATCTGCCTAATTCTAAGGCATATATACTGGGCTCTCAAATAACCCTGCTCCACTGTAAGGAAGGAGTCTCAAAAACACACTAAAGAGTCACTTACCTTTTGTGTTTCATCCTTCTTCTCTTGTTTGAGAATGTCAGTCAAGTTAATGAGCTTTTCCATAGCCTCAACTTGCCTATTAAGGTGCTTCAGATACATCCCACATGCACGGCAATAGGATTCCAAAAGCAGGCCAAACCTCTGACTAACTGTTTTATTGTGCATCTCAGATCTAAAAGACCAGTGCAAGCGAAGGAGAGAGCGAGACAGGGAGGGAGGGAGGGAAAGAAGCAGGAAGGCAGGGAGAGAGAACTGTAAATGAGCACACACAGAACCTTTTGTAGGAAAATAAGAAAACCCATTTTCTAAATTCAAAACATGTTATAATCATACTAATATAATCATACTATTATAAAACTTATCATTTAGGAGCAAAACAAAGAGTTTCAGGTAGTTCCTGAAAACATAAATTTTAAAAAATCTAGAATTTTAGATTTATTTCAACTACCTTTCATTTACTAGTCTTAGCACAAAATATATAAACATGAAAAAAGGAAATCAGGAGAAAAATAATAAAACAAACAGGGAGGGAATGAAAAGCTCAGTGAGCACTATTTGACCCTTCTGACATATACTTCCCTTTTCTGTACTGTGCCTGAATTTAAGTTATTTTAAACCTAGCTTCCAGATTCAATTTTTGATTTAACATTAAAAAAAAATGTTAATTATAAATCTATATCTGAATTTATAAAAACATGCATGGTTTATGACCTCTAACTTTGTGTATTACATATATCAATTCTGCAAAATATTTTTGTTGTTAATTATCTTATTTTCTAGTAAGGTTTCATCATTATTGCTTTGAATTCCAAGGGAAGATTTTTTGGGGGGTTAAGGAATATCTTAATCCACACATACAGGGAAATCAATTGCAACATTAATCTAGACCTAGCAAATTTTACTTTTCTTAAAGTAGAATCAAAGTCTTTAAAAATATTTCAGCTCTCATTCCTGTATAAAATTTAGTTTTAATTTTACTGCTTATTTAATGTTAAAGAGAAAAAGCTGAGAAAGTTCACTGGTACAATATGCTTTCAGTATGGAAACCTCTTCTAGACAAACAAAAACAATAGTAAATAAGTAATACAGAAGTATACATTAATACATGTATACATTATACATTAGAATACAAGTAACATTTATATAAAGAATAAATGGAAAAATAATTTGACTTACTTTAAATGCCAAAAGAAAAAGTGACCGATCCTTTGATTAGTTAATGCTTTTTTGAGTAAAAATCTCACAAGCAGGTTATCCAAATACTGTTCATATTTTAGTACCTATGTCAGTAAAAACAAACATACATAAAAACAAAGCCACATCAATCAGTATACGTTTCTTCATGGCTGAATTTAAAGAAAAAGTTTCTTAGGAAGAAAACAGATACTCCTGATAATAAAACTGATTTTTACAAAAGTATAAAACCAGCTAATACAGCATTTTTTGGAAATTGCATGGATTTAAAATAAAACATTTTTCTATTTTACATTACTTTACCTGTACTAGCTGAATTAGGTACTGAGAAAGTTTGTCATCTGTTAAATATTTTTCTAAGCACCGAACAGCAAAACCTCGAACCATAGGATCTGGGTAATTGCAGTCCAGAAGCTCCATAGCCTGTTCAGGCTTGATTGGAGGCCAATCTTTTACCAAGCAGTACATCTGTGTATGAGTGAGATAATAAATTATATTAAAAAAGCAAAAATAGTTGTGAATGAACCCTCTCAGACATTGTCTTAATTTCTTGCTGTAAAATTAGATAAAAGCCCCCCTTATGAATTCAGTGCTTAAAATGTTTAATTCTAATTAATTTTATCAGTGACAGTTATGTAAATGGTATTTTTCTTTACTACACAGATCTTCCTTGACTTACAATGGGCTTATGTCTTGATAAGCTTATCATATGTTGAAAACAGCTCAATGCATTCAGCACATAATCTACTGAACATCATAGCTTAACTCAAACTACCTTAAACATTCTCAGAACACTTATATTAACCCACAGTTGGGCAAAACCATCTAACACAAAGCCTATTTTATAATGGCTGTATGAGTACAGACTAGTTGTAAGGATACTGGTCGTTTACCCTCATGATCACCTGGCTGACTGAAGCTGTGGCTCACTACTGCTGCCCAGTATCAGGAGAGACTATTTTACCACATATTGCTAACTTGAGGAAAGATCAAAATACAAAATTTGAAATAGTTTCCACTGAATGCATATCACTTTCTCACTACTGTAAAGTCAAAAAGTCTTAAGTTGAACTATGGTAAGTTGAGGACCATCTGTACTATTATTATTAGTTAATTTAAAACACACAGTCTATTTCATCTCTTACACTTATGCAGATTTTCTGAGAGAAAACAATTTGAACAACATACCAAATTTGTGCAACAGTTATTCAGTAATTTCAAATATGCATTTACCTGAGCTACTTCATCTCTAGAGTTCCATTTAACAGACAGAAGCAATTTGGGTAGAATTTCGGGGATAGTTACACAATAGTGTCTATGTGGAAAAGACAAAACAAAATAAAAAACCATTCTTACATGTTATCCAAAAGACCTAAATGTCTAAATTTTCAACTATACAATCTCTAAGAAGTTCCAAACATTTTTAAAATTTCTTACCATGACTAGCCTTCCTTAAAATCAAAACAAATATTTAACATTATAGCTGCACATATATATATTTAGAGTCAGTTATAAATGGCATGGAAGACAAAAGGAAAATCCAAATGGAGGACAACTACTTAGGAAAAATTATGAACTTATAATATTCTTTACATAGTCTCTATTATTAATCATGAACCATGCTAAGATTCCCACTTCTACTGTGGTCAGTGGACAAAACTTATATTTAAATGGACTTTCTGCAAAAATGCACTGCAACTGTATTTAAATAAACCAGTGTACACATACCAAGCTGTAGAGTAATTTCTTCAAAAGTAAAAATAGGGCATTACATTGTTACTTTCAGGAAGCATAAGGAAAAATGAAAAATGAAAGGAACTCTTAAAAATGGAAAATATCTAGGCCAACTAAGTCACAATTAAATGGGTCTAAAACTACAGGTATTTTTTTGGGGGGGTGGATCTTAAATTTTATTTGAAAACAAAACAAAAAACCAAATCTAAGAAAAGGTCATGTTAAGGATTTAGAATTTTAAAAAAACCTTCCACCTGCAAGCTTAGTACCAATGCATCATGATTTTCTAGAAATACTAATCTACATCCATAGTTTAAAAAAGGATAATGCTTATAATAAAAAATCATGTAAATTATGCTTTATTTACTCTAATAGGTAATGGCAGAAACATGGCAAGATCAAGACAAAGTCAGTTCTTTCTTGTGAAATAGGAGAAACGGACTCTATCTTAACACTTACCTGTGGCTCCACAGAAAATCTTTCTCTTGCTCAGTGATTTCAGATAGAGGATCTCGTGTACAAATTGCTCGGAGCTGTTCTTTATCATTTTCTCTTAATTCGTTGTCTCTAGCTAGTCTGTTACTCTGTAAAATAAAGTAGTATCTTATATAATTTTTTCTTTGTCATATTTCCTAACCTTCTCCCTCGATTTATGAGTGATCTGCAAAAAAAAGATTAACTTTCAATAAACTTTACACTTATTATTAGCTGTTGAAAACCAGTTTATTGTCATTATAAGACTTTATTTTCAGCGATAGGGGAGAACAAGTTTAAATTCTTTCATAATCCTTGCCTGAATATATCCTTATAATCACTGCAAGGCTTTCCAATTTCAAAAGTAAAAATAAGGGGAAAACAGGAAAACAAACAAACAAACACAATAACCCACTTTAAAATACTGCACGCTGAATTTTGGAAACTAAAATGAAAATGCCATACATAACTTTTGGTGTAATTCCAAGATTCTAAGTAATGTATTTATTCCTTTTAAATACAAATATATTAACCACATAATGAATAACTATGAACACATTAATATATGATGAAAAACACATGCCATTTAGGATGGGTTATACTTATTCCTAATGGCTAAAGATGAAAGCAGACATCCATGCTACTTGGTTTTTATTTAAAAAGTCAAACTGTCAGTCACTCAGTTGTGTCTGACTCTTTGGATCCTGTGGACTGTAGCCTTCCTGGCTCATCTGTCTACAGAATTCCCCAGGCAAGAATACTGGAGTAGGTAGCCATTGTTTCTCCAGGGAACCTTCCTGACCCAGGGATTAAACCCGGGTCTTGTCTCCTGCACTGCAGGCAGATTCTTTTATCATGTGAGCCACCAAGGGAACCCCTGGTTTTTATATATTTAAATATTGTTAATTTATCCAGCAGCATAACAAAATATTACTGGCACATATTCGCTCAACAAATCTTTAATACATGTATTGTGTAATTTGGTCCTATTCTTACTGCTGGGCTCAGAAAATAGTAAAACACCTGCATTAACAGAGACTCTATTATAGTGGAAAATTAAATGAACAAATAAAGCTATTGGAGAATCAACACAGACAGATGTTGTGAGTGATGTGACAGAGAAGGACGGGGTGGTTACCTTAGACTGAGTGTTCAGAAATGGCCTCTGAGAACATATTAATTTGTGATCCAAATGCCAAGAAAGAACCATCCACACTAAGACCAGGGGAAAATTACCGCAGATGAATGAAACAGTGAAAGTGCCCCACAGACAGAAAGAGTTGGTGAGGGTCAGTGGCATCTGAAGTCCAGTAGGTGAGGGAGAGGACGGACAGCAGGTCATAGTCACCGCATGTAAAATTTGTAGGTCAGGGTAAAAGATTTGGATTTTACTTTTAGTGAAAGTTATGTACAGGATGAATACTGTTATTAATACTTGATTTATCTTTTATAATTTTGTTATTCTGGCTGCTCTAGGATAAGTGGAAGACCAAGCAGGGAGCTACTGTAATAGTCCAGGTAAAAGAATAAATACTTAACCCTCAACTCATCAGAAAAAGTAGTCATTAACATTAACATTTGGGTTCCAATGGACTCTTAGTTCTTTTACTTATTTTTGTTTTTAATACAAAATAATTTAGAGAATAAAAAATGGTAAACACAATTTAACAGACATCTTAATAAGAATTTAAACATAGTAAAATCAAATTTATAATCCAAAATGGGCAACATATGTTGAAAGAAACAAACTTGCTAATCAATTGTCCTGTGTGAGCCTGAAACATATCCATCTTGTGAATACTGATTCCAGATTTCAAATACATATCTCGTCAGTTCTAGCTTATCATTACTTTTGGTTTTTCTTCTCATACTTGCATTTTCAAAATACAATACTTTTGAAAACTTTGATGACTCATAATTTTGTTGAAGAGAGGATAACCATCTTCTTTGCTTCATAAGTACAAAACATTTCTATTTTTTATACTTACAGATATCAATTAGAATAATCAATCCAAGGAGTTAAGACTTTTCTACATTATTTTTTTCCTTCCAGTTATTTTTATACACAACTGTCTGTAGCATTTAGCTACTTAAAAAGTATATTTTGGTGCACAACATCATAAAAGATAAAAAGAATACTGGAAAAGATGGTGTCCAGGTTTTTAATATTAAAAAAAATTTTTTTGTGGTCCAGGTTCTTACTAAGACATATTGTGTGATAAAGTCATTCCTGCAGAATGACTAACTTGTGTTAGTCATTTTTTGTCCTTGGAGATACATTGTTCACTCACTGTCTCTTGAGTTTGAAAAAATTCATCTAGGATAGTGTCATCTGATGTTTCACTTAATATGATCAATTTTAACATCACCATTTAAGTCTGGAGCCATGGCACCCCACTCCAGTACTCTTGCCTGGAAAATCCCATGGACACAGGAGCCTGGTGGGCTGCAGTCCATAGGGCCGCTAAAAGTCGGACACGACTGAGCGGCTTCACTTTCACTTTTCACTTTCATGCATTAGAGAAGGAAATGGCAACCCACTCCAGTTTCTTGCCTGGAGAACCCCAGGGACGGGGGAGCCTGGTGGGCTGCCGTCTATGGGGTCGCACAGCGTCGGACACGACTGAAGCGACTTAGCAGCAGCAGCAGCAGTGGTTCTCAACTGGGGTGATTTTGTCCCATCTACCTCCCAGGAACCACTGATAGTGTTGGGACACATTTTTGATTGTTACAAGTTGTGCTGGTGATATTACTGGCATCTAGTATGTAGAGGCCAGGGGTGCTGCTAAACATCCTGTAATGAATAGGACAGCCCCTACAGCAAAGGAATTTTTGGCCGCAAATGTCATCAGTATTAAGGCTGAGAAACTTTGCTTTAAAGCACTATTATCCATTTCTTTGCATTCATACTCTGATTTAATACTTGTGAAATATTTTTCTCTGTCAAGTTTTCTTCTCTTTGTCACTGTGGGTGGAAAGGGAAAAATTCTAAATTATTAACAGTGTTCAAATGAAAGCCTAAAAACTAACAAAACAAAAAACTACAAAGATGGTGTTTGCAGACTTCTTTATACATCTGGAAAGATGATGGAAAACACTGAGCACTGCAATAAGACTGAAGGATGATGTAAAAGTGATGACTGACCTCACTACTGTATCATCCTTCTAGTTGTTCTACCTTTCTATGTTTCCATGTATATTAGTCTTTTTTTTTAGCATAGTTGGAATTAATTAATGAATAATGATTAAATAGTAAAATGTCTTAAGATACAAGAAAATTAAGTATCCCATTGTTGTATCTTAGATTTATGAAAGTTTTCAATAGATCTGATGGTAACTGAAAGACAGAATCAGTTTTATTCTATTACAAAAATAAACAGTTTTTCTTTGAAATAAAAAAAATTCTTCTAGGAAGAAAATGTCATAAAATATCAATCCTAAAAAACTTAGAACTGCTCAAAAAGGAAACTCAAAAGCTAAAATGGGCTGTGGCAAACTGAGTTCAATGACTAAAATATGAATAAAATAGGAAATAAATGAATTTTCAAGTATGTAATCTAATTCTGGTAATTCAGTTAATTTATAGGTATAACTAATTAGATAGAGTTATGGACATTTTACAGAAATGCTTCATTTCAAAATTAAGGAATCAAGGTAATTATCCTGTTTATCTAAGTTAGAATGGTTAAGAGTAAAAGACTTAATACTTATTTAACAGTGGCACTGGATAACTTATTTAAACTCCTTAAACCTTTTCTTTTCTGGTAAAATAGGAGTTAAAATAGCACCTACCCTCATTGAGACTACCTTTTAAGATTAAATGAGGTAATATGTGAAAAGTAATTGGCATGGCATTTATAGTACATAGTAAGCACTTAATACATGTTAAATATATTCAAGGAATTAAACTTACAAAATAGTGGCTACATTTTTCAAGCAAAAGAATCCCTTTTTTTAATGTCAAAAAAGCTAACTGTACTTTTAGTAAATGACAGAATTCAGAAATGATTTTAAATTAATTTCTACTTAACAAAACATTTTGTACATAGTTTTGAAAGTACACAGGCAGGAAGATTACTATCACTATTATTATTATTATTCCATTTACAAAAGTTTGGTAAACTCCTTACTGAGAACACAACTATTAATAATAAAGTTAAACTAATAAAGTTTCTAAATATAGGATTCCAGATTGCCCCTGGGTGCCACTATTACTGGGGGGGTAGGCATGTTTCAGAACCCACATTCATTGAATGGTCTATCTATAATCTTTAATTAGGCCAAAGAAAAAGGTGACAAATTAGGAACCTGGGAAAAGAGACAGCAAAGAACAAAAATACTCTCTTCTCTCAGCACTGACACTTTTCCCTTGAAAAGTAAGGGAGAGTTTACGATCCTTGAACCCAGTTACACTGTGGTTCTAAAACTACAGCCAAGATCAGACAAACAGATCCATTTTATATACACTGTTTTCTAGCACAGACCATGTTGTTATTGTTGTTGTTTAGTTGCTAGGTCATGTCCAACTCCTTTGCAGCCCCATGGACTATAGCCCACCAGGCTCTCTGTCCATGTGATTTCCAAGGCAAGAAAACTGGAGTGAGTTGCCATTTCCTTCTCCAGGGATCTTCCCAACCTAGAGATTGAACCTGCATCTCCTGCATTAGCATTTAAGTGCTTTACCACTGAGCAACAGGGAAGTCCAGCATAGACTACTGTGATATGCTATTTCCTCTGCTTCCAGGCCCAGTTAACAACACACGTATACCTTGGTTTCAAGTTCAAAGTTATTATCCCAGAGAGGTCTCTCCTGTGCCAAGATACACTATTCTTTCTCCCCAAAAGTTCATTATTCTTGACACACTACTATTTCCTTCATGGCACTCAGCATAATTTGTAATCTTATATTTCTGCTTTTACCAGTCTCAGGCCTATTTTCACCAGCACACTGAATAAACAGTAGAAGTCTCTTCAGGTCACAACTTTATTACCTGGTACCTATTGTGTCAAGATCAAGTAGAGATGGAAAGAATACATGGAAGAACTGTACAAGAAAGATCTTAATGAACTGGATAACTACAATGGTGTGATCGGTCACCCATAGCCAGACATTCTGGAGTGTGAAGTCAAACGGACCTTATGAAGCACTGTGGTCAGTAAAACTAGTGAATGCGATGGCCTTACAAATAGCTGTGAAAAGAAGAGAAGCAAAAGGCAAAGGAGAAAAGGAAAGATACACCCATTTGAATGCAGAGCAAGAATAGCAAGGAGAGACAAGAAAGCTTTCCTCAGTGATCAGTGCAAAGAAATAGAGGAAAACAACAGAATGGGAAAGACTACAGATCTCTTCAAGAAAATTAGAGATACCAAAGCAACATGTCATGCAAAGATGGGCACAATAAAGGACAGAAATGGTACGGACCTAACAGAAGCAGGAGATATTAAGAAGAGGTGGCAAGAATACACAGAAGAACTATACATAAAAGATCCTCACAACCCAGATAATCACGATGGTGTTATCACTCACCTAGAGCCAGACATCCTGGAATGTGAAGTCAAGTGGGCCTTAGGAAGCATCACTACAAACAAAGCTAATGGAGGTGATGGAATTCCAGTTGAGCTATTTCAAGTCCAAAAAGATGATGCTGTGAAAGTGCTGGAGTCAGTATGCCAGCAAATTTGGAAAACTCATCAGTGGCCACAGGACTGGAAAAGGTCCGTTTTCATTCCAATCCCAAAGAAAGGCAATGCCAAAAATGCTCAAACTACCGCACAATTGCATTCATCTCACACGCTAGTAAAACTAAAAGCTCAAAATTCTCCAAGCCAGGCTTCAACAGTATGTGAACTGTGAAATTCCAGATGTTCAAGCTGGATTTAGAAAAGGCAGAGGAACCAGAGATCAAATTGCCAACATCCGTTGGATCAACAAAAAAGCAAGAGAGTTCCAGAAAAACATCTACTTCTGCTTTACTGACTATGCCAAAGCCTTTGACTGTGTGGATCACAATAAACTGTGGAAAATTCTTCAAGAGATGGGAATACCAGACCACCTGACCTGCCTCTTGAGAAATCTGTATGCAGGTCAGGAAGCAACAGAAGAACTGGATATGGAACAACAAAATGGTTCCAAATAGGGAAAGGAGTATGTCACCTAGTATATTGTCACCCTTTTTATTTAACTTCTATGCAGAGTACATCATGAGAAACACTGGGCTGGATGAAGCACAAGCTAGAATCAAGATTGCTGGGAGAAATATCAATAACCTCAGATATCCAGGTGACACCACCGTTATGGCAGAAAGTGAAGAAGAACTAAAGAGCCTCTTCATAAAAGTGAAACAGGAGAGTGAAAAAGTTGGCTTAAAGCTCAACATTCAGAAAACTAAGATCATGGCATCTGGTCCCATCACTTTATGGCAAATAGATGGGGCAACAATAGAAATAGTGACAGACATTATGTTTTTGGGCTCCAAAATTACTGCAGATGGTGACTGCAGCCATGAAACTAAGATGCTTGCTCCTTGGAAAAAAAGTTATGACAAACTTAGACAGTGTGTTGAAAAGCAGAGACATCACTCTGCCGACAAAGTTCCGTCTAGTCAAGGCTATGGTCTTCCGAGGGGGCGTGTACGGTTGTGAGAGCTGGACCGTAAAGAAGGCAGAGCACCAAAGAATTATGCCTTCAAACTGTGGTGCTGGAAAAGACTCCTGAGAGTCTCTTGGACAGCAAGGTGATCAAACCAGTCAGTCTTAAGGAAATCAACCCTGAAAACTCATTGGAAGGACTGATGCTGAAGCTGAAGCTCTAGCATTTTGATCACCTGATATGACACTCCGACCAACTGGAAAAATCCCTGATGATGGGAAAGATTGAGGGCAGAAGAAGAAGATGGCATCAGAGGATAAGATAGCTGGACAGCATCACCGATGCAAGGGACTTGAACTTGGGCAAGCTTCAGGAGAAGGTGAGGACAGGGAGACCTGGCATGCTGCAGTCTATGGAGTCACAAAGAGTTGGACATGGTTAGGTGACTGAACAACAACCTATTGTATAGTAAATATATATGTGTAGTCAGTATTAAATAAAATATTTGTTAAATGAGGCAGGCTAAACTAAGAAGCAGACTGCAGAAAAAATATTAGCATACAGAATTTTATTCTATTGCAATACTGTTCTAGAGCCTGTAATATTGATGCCAGTGTAAATAAAACACATGAAACCTTCTCCATTCAAAGAGTAAAAGTAGGTATGCAAATGCACTGATTATGACTGATACTTAAGGAAAACTCTGTGATTTGCCTTACCAGTCCTGCATGGGAATAACTAAATCCTGCTTCACGGGATACAGACCAATTGGCATGCTCTTCAATCACTGACATATCTGGAAACTTTACCACACTGCTGAACCAGTCAAACTCCAACTCTAAACATGGAGTTTCCTAAGAGATGGAACAAAAGTTATTATATATATTATACTTGACTGTCACACACACAAAAAAGAAAAAAAAATCTAATTTATGATAATAAAAAGCTTACTTTATTTGGATTTGATCCAGTAACACCAATAGGGTTCAGCAAATCTTCTAGTCCATGAGGTACTGGCCAAAGATTCAAAGCCATTTTTCCAGATACTAGAGTATCTGTGTAATCAAACAAGTTTATATTTCCCCAGGCCAATGGACAGTGTTCCTTAAGAAACAGAAAAATGTTCACTATTCTGTAGATTAAATGATAAAACGCATTTCAAAATACTTATCTTTGCCAGAAAGGAGAATTCAACAACTGCCTTTTAAACTGTATCTATAACAAGTCACATTAATTTTTTTCCAAGTGTAGTTTCATTTTCCCCATTTGAAAGCACACATATTTTTAAAATTATAAATGGGAAATATAAACCAAAGCAAGCAAGACATATTTACGTGTAGTCACTGTGTACATTAAAAGTTTTATCAGTATGAACTGAGGACATATTCATCATAAAATAAATTCTGGAAGCTCTACTAAGTTATTCTTCTTTAAATAAATATATTATTTTTAAATGTTTGATTTATTAATTTTTAAGTAAGGGAAAAAATACCCATTTCTTGAAAAATTCAATCAGCAGTATATTCAGGGGTTTTTAGGAGTGAACATTACTATTCTTTCTGATACTTTACCTCTTTAGCACCCTTTCGGCCTTTAACAGAACAAATGGAAAGGCAGAGTCGAGCAGCACGAGGAAGATCAGGAATGTATATATCGTAATTCAGCCATTCATTCCACCTATGAAAAAGTTTAAAGAAAAAAAGAATTTACCAAAAAAGACTTTATCCAGACTATATAAATGATTCCTGTAAATCACTAAGAGAAAGATAAATCAAACGAAAACCAGGTAAGAGACTGACTGGAACAGAAACTTTACAAGATCAAATCTAAATGGCTAATAGACATGAAAGAGTAGTCAATATCATCTGTCATCCAGAAAATGAAAAAATAAAAAGATAACACTATAAAAGAGAATGGCTAAAATGATAAAGACTGATGATACTGAGGAGTGGTAAAGAGATGCATTAACAGAAAATCTCATACATGCTAGGGGAGGTGTAATTTGTACAACCAATTTGGAAACCATAATCTACTAAAACTGATCCACAACTCATCTCCATTTCTAGGTATATGCAATCCTGAACAGATTTTCATTAATTATGATCAATTCAGAAGGCTTTCTGAACAGAATGTATGCAATCCTGAACAGAGTGCTAACAGAATTATATACAGTGTCTCCAAACTTCAAAGTAAATAGATAAATGGTAGTATGGTCATATAATGGCAATACTGTATATCAGTGGAAATGAACACTAGTTATTTACTAATAGATGAAATCTTATAAACATAATATTGACTGTAAGAAGCTAGGAACAAAAGAATATCAACTCCTTGAGTCCATTTATATAAAATTTAGAAACAACCAAAACTAATAGCATTAGAACAGGTACCTTTGGGGAGGAGAGAAGATTAATGGGTTGGGAAGGAGTATGAGGAGGGGTTTTTGGAATACCTGTAAATGTTCTAATTCTTGACCAGCACAGTGGTTATATAGGTGGTTATACAGGTATTCATTTTGCGATAATTCACTGAACTATACAATTATGATTTGTATAATTTTATGCATTTGTGCTGTACTTTGGTAAAAATAAAAAACAAATTCACTTATAGAAGATGGAATAGAAAAAGGAAACTAAAGATAAAATTAATTTCCTGTTATGATTAAAATTATATTTAATTACTCTTATGTATGATGTAGTTTCACTCAGAAGAGCCTGTTAATTTAAATAAGTCAGTAGATAAATAAAATAAAAGATACATAAGGAGAAAGTATTCAATTTCAGAGTAACTACTTCATAGGAAGTAATAAAATGACATAATGAGAGGAAAAAAGTTACTACAAAAAGTGATAAAAATTATTCAAATTTTCCTAAGTTCTCTTTAACTTATTGGTTGTTACATGTGAAATTATGTCTATATTTGGTATACATACTTATAAAGAACCAAATACAATAAGTAATTGGTTTTTTTTTAAATTAAAAAACATAGTAATGGCTAAGAATATGAACTTAGGAGTCAGACTGTCTGGAGTAAAATCTTGTTTCTACTATTTTACTAAATGTGTGACCCTTGCTTTGTCTGTTTTCTCATCTGTGAAATGGGACTAATAACAGCACCAACTCTCATACAGTTGTGAAAATTAAATGAGATAACATACATAAAGAAATTAGAACAGTAACTAGTCCATATTAAAAGCTCAAGTGTCCATTTATACAGAGAAAACTTACATTTAAAGTGGGGAAACTCAGCTAGAAGGAAATCTAAAGGGAAAGCAAACAACAAATGCAGGGAAAAGAAATACTGTAAGCTTTGTTAAGTTCACAATAATTCAAGAAAAATTAGATGGTGTATCTCAAATGTACCTAGTACTTTTTACCACATTGAAACCTTCTGAATTGATCATAATTATTAAAAATTTTCTACACACTTTTTAAGAGAGCTAAAACGCATTATAGTTGTTCAGTACTGTGCTAACCAACTAAAGCATGTTCTTTTCTTCTTTTAAAGTCCACAAAACACACACACACAAACACGTACAACCTAATTAAGTTCTTTAGTTTTAAGCAATGGTTTTATATATATATTCCAAATTTATTCTGATTTTGGGAGATAACTGGTAACATTTATATGGAAATCATAAAGTATCTAATTATTTAGCATATAGAAAGCACAGATTTGGAAAAATCACTTAATCTCAGTAAGAATTTTTAAGATTCTATCTTTCTAATAACTTCATATACTTTTATCTCTGACTTTTAAGTACAGAAAAGCTTAAAAATTTACTTAAAGTCTTTATACTACTTGCATAGGGATTTTACCTTACAGATATTCTTAAAGAAATGATAATGAAACAGAAATCCTTTTTAAATAGTTACTTTAATATATTACATTTTGACATTTTGATCTTATATCATTAAATAAATTTACCTTTTACTTTTCTAAAGTCTGTTTATTTTTGTTATTTGAAAGAATTAGGGTAAATCTATCTAACATTATTTTGGGGTCTTTCCTTAGGCTTGTTGAACTCCTTAGGTTGTTGGTCTTATAGTTTTCACCAAAATTTGGAAATTTCTGGCTATTACTTCCTCAAATATTGTTTTTATGTTCCTTGCAAAAGTACCCACTTAACCTGTGACAGATATGCTGTATGAATGGAAAACATAACTTTCATTGGTCTAACAAAAATTTTAAAAGATTCTGGTGTTGTTTATTGCTGCAGCGTAACTTCTAACCTGAGTGATGTGCTTTCTGACCTACAGTGGTTCAGGCAGGATGGCAATTATATTCCTTCTTCTTGGTAGAGAAGGCTACCATCTCTCTGAACTTCACCTGTGGTCTAGAAGGGTGGCACCTCTAGCACTTACAAGACCAGAACTTTTTCCTGACTTTTCTAGAACTCAGTCTGAATTCATTATAAAACTTACTTCTGGAAGATCCATTAGTTAGCTCTACTGCTAGTCTAAAAAGTCTACTTTAACATTTAAAACCAATTTGAGTTATCTTAAAATACTACTATATTCATCAGGAATAAACTTTTATTCCCAAATGATTCTATAAAGAAAGGCAAAGAAATGGCAAGATGGAAAGTTGCTGAATTATACTACCTTTTTTATTTCTTCATTTTATCTAGGCAGTAATCATTTTTAAACATTTCCAGTAACTCCCCCTCCCACTAAGAAATTGGTTTGTTCCCAAAGATTCTTCACTTGAATGCCATAAACATGTATTCTTGGGAGTGTTGTAAAGCAAACTGCCTCAGAGTAGTACAGCTCTGAAGTTATTTGCCAACTCTCACTTCTTAATGGAAATGGGAGTTTAAAAAGGAATAAAATGCAAGGTTTTTAGATCTACTGTAAGGAATCATCAGCACAAAACTATAACACATTCTGTTTTCTCCTCAATACAATGAAAGAGAGAATCAGAAAAACTGTTCCAATAACATTTTAGAGAAAATAAAGTGATCCCGGAATGAGGATACTTATTTGATGGGATGTCCTTATGTTCTATATTAAATGTCTGGGAATTATATATGACTTGCATAAAACTAATAATGTAAAATATGCTACTTTTATTTATTATACTGTTAAACACTAATATGACTTGAAAATATAAATTCACATACTTCCTTACCTGGGATTGGAACAAGGTACTCTTTGAGTGTTCACATTATCACATAAGGGTTCTCCTCCATGATAGATACCTGTTCGAACATAAATCTAAGGGAAAAAAAAGTTATGTGTATACACATACACATACGCATGCACACATACATACTAGACAAGGCCAATATTAAACATTATCAAAACAATTTAACTGACATGAATGAGAAAATCAACTAAAAGTTTTTGTTCAGATGTAGCTTTTCTGGTCTCTTTTTCTTCCCATATTAATAAATGATTAATTAATAAATGATCAGATTTTTCATCAATAGGTTGCTGCCTTCAACATTGGCCCACAATCCCTTTTTAGGCCAGTTACGTAATTCAGTTTTACAAATTCCAGAATGATAAATTGGTACATATACTAAATATTACTTAGTACTCTTAGCAGTTAGAGCAGCACTTCATAGAGAAATTATTAATATTTCTACAACAAAACATATGGATATTTACATTAAGTGGGATAAATAAAGACTATAAAAACCTTGCTTCAGATTAGGTCAGGTTTTCCTGCCAAATGAATTCTATAAAAGCTTGGTTTTAAGAGCTTAGAATTATGGATATTAGAATTATTAGAATTACAGAGAAGGACTATAAACTGAGGTAGATGTTTTCTAGCCAACTGAAAACATACTGCAGGTCAACAGATTATTATATAGTTCAATAAAAAAGATTTATATAAAATAATTTATATCAGTTATAAACAGCAAGACCTGACCTTACCTTGTCAATGTCTCGAATATTTACATTCACATAGGTTGCACAAAGAATTTTTATTCTGAGTGCACTATTTATAACCCAAAGGGATTTTGTAGACGTTTCTCCATTCATATATGGCGTAGCTGTGGAGATGCGTCTGGAATATGATGGCATTGTAAAACAGTCCATTGGCAGTTGAGAGTAGAGGCTTTCTTTAGCCATCAGCATCAAATTGGGCATCCTCCCAAGCATTATACAGCTTCTTATATACTGTAAGAGATTAAGGTGGGAGGGGAGAAGCCATTTCTTGTAAAGTTTTCATTTTTAAAAGCAAAATGCAAGAGTATTATGAGAGAATTTACATACTAATCTGCAAAGGTGATTAAACAAATCAAACATTATAGTTTTTTTTTTAGCAGTTGCTATATTTATAACAGTCAAAATACTAACATTTGGGAGTTAGCACAGATAAGCCAAGCACCTCCTGGCATATAAATTGTATAGAAGAAAAGAAAAATCAAGGTCAGCTTTTGAGACTATAGTTCTACCTTCAACTGGAAAAAAAAAAGAAAGAAGAAAGAATTAAAAATAAGGATCAGGACATATCATTATGAAAACACTGTACTTGTTAAAGGAAAAAGCAAGATATTTAGAAAGCCTGTGTCATTCAACGTATTAAGTCATACTGATGTAAAATCCAAGAGCTGCTTGCTGCCCACTTGTTCTTTTGCCCCAACACTTCTTGAGAAACATTTCTTAAAAAAAAATCACACACATACACACACAAAGAGAGGAGACTAATAATTATGAAATATGTTGTTAAAAATATTAAAATGCATTGGTTTGAACTTTAAAATGATAATCAGGATAGAGATTTTTAATATAAATGCTACTGTACACCCCTAATCGCTCAGTGGGTGAAGAATTCGCCTGCCAATGCAGGAGACACAGGTTTGATCCCCAGGTCTGAAAGATCCCCTGGAGAAGGAAATGAAAACTCACTCCAGTATTCCTGCCTGGGAAATTTCATGGACAGAGGAGCCGGGGGGCGGAGGGGGGTGTCACAGTCCATGGGGTCACACAGAGTTGGACACAACTGAGTGACTAAGCACATATACACACAGCACTGCTGTACACATTTTACAAAAATCTGTTTTCTTACCCATAAGCCCTAGTAGAATGTAAGCAAACTAAAAGCCAAGACCATGTCTTACTCAGTAAATCAGTATTTGACATATGCTTGGTACAAATATGGTTGCTTCTTATAGGTATTTATTTAATGAATAGAAAGACAGAGTAAAGTAAGTATTAACAGTACATCTTAATTAACTGTAGACCATGGATTTTGAAATGTTTAATTCCTTCTGGTGCCACTGTTTGCAAAGGGACAAAAATCATCAAATGCCCCATATTTGGGTGTTAGTATAACTGCCATTTTTTTTTTTTTGACAAAGAATATTTACCTTATTGCTAACACTGCCTATTCAAATACAACAAGCCCTTTTTTGAAAAGTATGGCACATGAAAAGCCTTTTGGGCAAGTTTCAATTTATTTAAAATTCCTATTGGCTATAAAAGTATTTCCACTATAGAACTGGAGCTATCCAGAAAAAGCACATGATGCATTTTTTGTAAAACACCTGAAACATTATTATATCTTACCTCATGGCACAATTAAATCGTCACCAAATCAAATGTCTGTATCTGAATAATGACATAACTATTGTTACAACTGTAAACTTTTACTCAGCTTACCCATATACATGTAGTCAGGTCCCCAAATATTAATTATATAAAATATAAAAGAACAGCATTGGTCCTCTCAAATTTGTCTAAAAAATATATATAGTGTAAAAAATAAACTAATTAATGCTATTTATTAATACTAATTATTTAGTTTTGGGACTTCCCTGGCAGTTCAGTAATTAGGATTTGGCGTTTTCACTGCCAAAACCAGGGCTCAATCTCTGGTCAAGAAACTAAGATTCTGGAAGCCAAGTAGTATGGCCAAAAAAAAACTAAATTTTCAAAAACTACATCCTAAATACAGATATCAGTTCCCAATGTTATTACCTTTTAAATTTAAAAGTAATATCTTTAAAACTTGTTACTCACCTTATACTGACTCAGAGGATATTTTTCTAGGAAGTATTCATCACATCCACACACTTTTAAAATATACTTGCCCTGATATTCTAAAACACAGAGTTTTAGTTGTTCAGATGACAGCAACATACTTCGAGTTTTTTTCCTGATTGCTTCAGCAATTACTTGTTCTGGCACACAGTCATGGTTGATTTTCAAGGTATACTTCTGTTTGTCATTATTTGGAGAAACTATTACCCAAATCACCACTATTATTTGCCCTATAATAGAAAAATAATATTAGATGCAGTCACCACATATATTTCATTTTTCAAGAGAGAAGTTTCAAAAAGTATGCAGTACCATGACTCTAACCACAAACAGAAATGACTTATAATCAACCATAATTAAATACAGGTAACTGTCAGGTAGAAAGAGCAAACCTTCAAATCTGATAGGGCTGACAAACCATGCCCCAACCTCATGTTTTAAGGCAAGCATACAAAACTGTGACTACTGTGTGTTGCAAGTATCTGAGACTAAGCTAATTTCTATTCTAAACTGCATGACATACTTCATAGATACAATCCTTGTGAAGAGTGACTCATGATGGCATCAAAAGTTCAACAGTACTCTAAGTACAACTGTGTCTCGTAACTATGGGAAAGAACCATGGAGACTTAAAGAAAGATGCTGAATCAGAATGAGAGAAAAGATGGGGAGGGATGGGGAAGAAAGTAAATATTCTATTTTTTTCCATTTAAGATTAATGAAGTGTAAAGCTAGGGGACCAAGAAAAAGAAGATGAAAATGAAAAGATTAAAACTATATTGGAGTGGCCAAGGTACACACAGTAAAATTATTTCAGATTTTCTATTTGTTGGAAAATTTTCATAAAGAGTATTAGGAAAAAATGAAAAGATCATTCCATTTTAAAAACCATGCTAATGTAGAAATGAATTTTAAATGAAGATCTTATGTTATATAATCATTAAACTACTTTGAATAATATGGCTGAAACAGTAATAAGATGCCTTAATTTATTCTACTGACAGAATACTATGTTTAATAAGTAAATTTATTCTATAAGTTTCCATTAAAAACTTCACTGTTACCTTGAAAAACACAAATATTTATCTGATAAAATGATATTTTCATTTCTAAAATAATGCAGTTTAAATACTCTCATATTCACTTAATTCTAGAAACTGATATACTGTCAATAGTTGTCATTATTATCCTCATTATGATCAGAGTTAAACACTGCATCTAACATTTACTTTTTCTTTGTATACAGTAAGAATGTGTAGAAGCTTATCATTTAGCTAGGGCAAAAAGACTGTATAATAATATAGGTACAGACAGAAGTTTTCATTACAGTGGCCATTTATAGTAGATAAATAATTTTCTTACCTTTATCCAATTTATTATATATGTGCTTTGGCAGTTCTGGTGAAGATTCCACATTTGGAGGATAAACATACATTGCTCTACTATGAGGTGAATTGAGATCCCTAAGATCCACAGCTTCTTTACAAACATTGAGAATATTTCTTCGGAAGTCCTGTACTTCTGGATCTTTAACCATATCAAATTCACACACTGGCATGCCAATAGCAAAACCTTAAAGGATATAACATTCTGTTAAACACACAGTAAGACCATGCTTGTTATAAACAAGGAGTTTGGTAGCTATAGATGATCACAATAAAGAATTTTCTGTGTTAATAAAATTTTTGATGAATACATATAGTAAGAATTGACAAAATCTCAAATATGTTTAATATATAAAATATGATATGCTCAGTAATTTGGAGCAAAAGTAGCAAAAATTATTTATTATCAATTATTTTTTAGAAAACAAAACAAAACTGGGATATAACAAATATAAATCATCCCTCATTCCTTCATATGACACTTCTTAAAGAAAACTTTACAGAATAATACCAAGGTGTTAAAAATAGTCCCTTAGCTTAACAGTCAAAAAATACTTTCGAATTATAATGATTTTTATTTTGAAATCTATTTAACCAGTTCAGACAAAATATTGTATTAATGAGAAAACAGTTAAGCTTCATAGTTATTTGCATTTAGAATGGGATGACAATGCCATTTCAAAACTTTATCATACCAATTTCTCGATTGAGGATCTTTTCTTCACGGTTGCCTACTGGTTCAATTACTTTTAAAAAGGGTTGAAAAAGCCGAAGGTCACAAAGTCGTCTTGTTTCATCAAAAAATTCTTCCCTTTCTGCTTCTTGGGTAACACTTACGAAAATGTAAGAAGATTCATCTTGAAGAAGTTGATGGAGAGGGTATTTTCTTGCTTCTTTAAATAGTTCATGCTTTATAGTTATTAACGTAGCCTCACGGAGGCATTCTAAAGTCACTATCATCCCATTTGGTAATAAACATTCTACTAGGATTCTTGGGGGCATCAAGTGGATGCCCCACAGTTCACCTGATGATGGTCTTGGAGGCATTGTTCTGATCCTTTACAAGCTTTACATATAAAAGTACTTTAAGGAATTAGATGTGTGGCTGTCCCAAAGCAGAAATCTAAATCAAAGAAAGAAAAAGTATGTTAAAGGAGGAACCATCAAAGAATACACTTATGGCATTACTAAATGTACAATTTCATTTTCTGTAGTTTGAAATGATTAGAGTAAGTAATTATAGTTCATCTCAGATTATGTTCCTAATTAAGCTAAAAGATGGCTTCCCTGGTAGCCCAGACGGTAAAGAATCTGCCTGCAATGCAGGAGAGACCTGTGTTTGATCCCTGGTTTGGTAAGATGCCCTGGAGGAGGACATGGAAACCCACTCCAGTGTTCTTGCCTGGAGAATCCCCATAGACAGAAGAGCCTGGTGGGCTACAGTCAATGGGGTCGCAAAGAGTCAGACACAACTGAGCGACTAAGCACAGGCTAAAAGAATTGATTCCAAACCAGAAATTAGAAAAAACAATTACTTGCATTTAATCACATTTAATAAATTCATTCAATAAAAAATTCTTATTTGAATGGATTTTTAAGGTCAGATCTTAAGACAGAGCTGGAGCTATGGAGAGAATAAATAGTAAGCTGCAACTGAAATAAAAATTCCCATTATATACCATTCTTTTCTATTTTACACAACAACAGAATTTGGTTTGGAAAGGACCTTTTAGACCATGGTTCTACTGTTCTTAAAGATGAGTAAAGCAAAGCCTTTTAGGTAAGAATAATGAAATGGCAACCCACTCCAGCATTCTTGCCTGGAAAATCCCACGGACAGAGGAGCTGGGCAGGCTACAGTCCAAGGGCTTGCAAGAGTCGGACATGACTTAGCAACTAAACCAGCACCAGTGGTTTTATTTTAAAGATGAGTAAAGTAAAGGCTAGAGAAGTCAAATCCTTTTCCTTTTACACTACTACCTCTACTCTGTGGTAACTAGAATTTACAGTTTAGTATTTTTTTCTTTCTTAAGAAAGAAAAATCTTTGTAATTTCCTTTTTTTTTTTGTATTTGTTATTGTCTAAGTGATACCTTGATGATTCTCTTTAAGTATAATCTAGTTATATATTAAGTATAATAAAAAGTGTCATCAATGCATTTTCCTTGAGATAGGATGATTAATTTGCAAGGATCCATCCCTTTTACCAAAAAGTAGGAGTGTTAGTTGATCAGTCATGTCCAACTCTTTGTGATCCCATGAACAGGAGCCTGGAAGGGTCCATGGGATTCTCCAGGCAAGAATACTGGAGTGGGCTGCCATTCCCTTCTCCAGAGCATCTTTCCAACCCAGGGATCAAACCTGAGTCTCCTGCATTGCAGGCATATTCTTTACTGTATGAACTACAGGAAGTCCCACATAGCACAAATTTATTTCTTGTGGGTTATATTTTGTTGTTCAGTAAGCTTTACTCTATCAGGCACTATAGACAATAGCTATAAATGACACTATTCACCAACAATGTATTGGTGCTGTCCCCAGGACCATATTAGGTACTGGGAATATGATGGCAAGACAGGCATGGCCTCTGCCCTCACAAGACAACATCAAGAGTGTGAAGGTTATGTGTATGCTGGTGTGGGGTAAAAAATTCACACGTATAAAACAGGGAGAAAAAAAAAGCTCCCATGAAGAAGTACCAGGGGCTTATAAAAGCACATACAGTGGTCACCTAACTTGATGGAAGTTGGAATGAGACAGTTTTCCATAGAAGGTAACATATAAACTAAATTCTTTAAGGATAAGCAGGAGCAGAACGAACACAGTGAGAAAGAGGTGAAGAGCAGGATATACTTAATCCAGAAACTGTCTCTGACTCCTTTATTTCGTACAAGCCAGTATCTAATTCATCAACAAATTGCGTTAATTCTATATCTTGAATTTCTTAATGTCTTGGGTCAGTCCACTACTATTTCTTGTCTGGACCACTGTAAAGGCCTAAATTGTCTTACTACATCTACATTTGTCCCCTACAATTCCTCTTTCTCCACACAGCCTATGAAACCTAGAGAGAGCAAAAGGATCTATTTTGATTAGATGTTTTTGCAGTATCCATTCTCAGTTGTAAACAAGTGTTTATGGTATGCTTCAGAGTTTTAGCACATGAAGAAGGAGATAAGGAGTAAAACAGCAGGAATTTCAAGCCCTCTCCCTACCTCTGGAAATACAGAGATCAGTTGAAAGACAATAAGGAATGTACAATTTTTTTTAATACTTGAAAATATCTTCTTCAAATTTATAAGAGACTCACTGAGATTATAGGATTTAAAATATAATTATCCTATTCTCTATACTTTTAAAAGAAAATTCACTGGCTAGTAAAAACAACCAGATGGATCAATCTGAGAGCATAATTATAGAAATGAGTTAGGCTACGCTTTTAAAAAACATACAAAAAAATTTGAAGAATGCAAGGGGAAATGCCGAATGATTACTTTTAAGTGATGATCTGCCTGCAGAAAAAAAGTTCAAATAAAAACAAAACCAAACCACAAACCATACCAAAACAGCAGCTGTGTTTACAGTTTTCTTTGTTGAATGGCACTAACAGGTCTATGTTATGGAATCATGAGGCCAACTATTTTATATAATAAATAACAACTCCCAAAGTCTGATATGTTTCCTAAGAATTAGCAAAAGAGAAGTCTAGTACCCAAGAGATCACTGATTTTAATCCTTATTCTACTTTAGTATATTTATGGGCAATTAACAACTATGAAATACTTAAGACACACCCTTCTCATTAAGAGAATAAATGTGATCATAGCCATAAAATACTGGGAGATCCTGGAAAGCAGGCACTGGTTCACACTGGTAGTACTCTACATGTGGGAGAGGAAGCTAACTTTCTTATTTGTCTTCTTACCCCAGGCTTTATTGTGTTCAAACCATCACCTCAGAGCTCACAAGAACAGAAGTGCAAAAGAGACAAATGGTGCTAACACTTACTCTTTAGTATATATCTTGCACTTAGGCATGCAATAACCCTTTTGGGGTAAGTAATAAACATTTTACATATGAGAAAACTGAAGGTCAGAGAAGTAAAGTTATTTGCCACCAGTAAATATTAAATATTTTGAATCCAGGTTTACATGATTTCAAAGTGTACACTGTAACCATACTGTTATTTGGACTTCAGTTATGGCAGGAATATTCACTGGTGGTGAATAACGGTGAATAAAACAATGGGCTCTGAAGTTACACTGGATTCAGATTCTGTCTGCCTTAGTTAATAGTTGTATGGCCTTAAGCAGTTCAATTCATCTCACCAAACCTTATATCACCACCACCACCACCACCACCACCCTGGCCCCCTGCCCCAATTTGTTAAGTTGGGATAATAGCATATACTTCATCAGACCATGGTATTGATGAGGTAATATACGAAAAACATGGAAGCAGAGACTGGCATACTGTAAGCACTCAAAAAATATTACATATAATTAACAAACCTGTCAAGTATACCCACAGTATCTTTTCAGGTTTTTATGAATTATTCAGGACTGGCATCAGTTAGTGATAGGAAAAAGAAGACTGGGTTCTTTTACAGAGTGGGGCAAGTAAACAAGGAGTTTCAGCTTCACAAAGCAGTACGAGTCAGGTGCTGAAGCCTGAAGGCAGAGCCGGAACTGCAAGATTCAAAGACAAATTTGGAACAGTACCGAGTGGCTTAGATGCTGGGATTTTTGCAACTGTGGTTTGTTCCCCAGACCCCGTGTGTCCCTATTTAATTGGTACAGCTACTTACGGCTTAGGTGTGAGGAATCCCTGGCTTAATTGCCCTTTTTGGAGAAATACTTGTTTATGCCAGGTTCTAGGTTAAACAGTATGAAAACAATGGTAAATAGACGCTTTCTCTTTGGTTGTTGAGTTTGTTGGGGAAAGACAAGACCCAGGAACAACTTTAACAATGGAAAATTGTTATAAGGCAGAATAGGAACTTTGGAAAAGTCACAAGAAATCTCCAACTGCCTGAGGAGGCTAGGGAAGGCATCAGGGAAGTTTATCTACAGCATTACAGATTAATAGGGATTTTGCAGAGAAGTGGCTTGGACATGGGACAGCTAGGTGAAGAGGGAGCTATAAAACTGTGTGTACAAAGACCATGAAAAAAATACAGCCTTTACCAGCAATATAAGTTTGATTTTTTTTACTACTTGAGTATGAAATGCATGGGAATAGGTAGGATATGTGATAATGAGGGAGGATTGAGAAATACACATGGGCAAGAAAAGTGGACAGACTCCATGTTAAGGAGTTTGAATTCTACGTAGTATATACTCTAAGTAAAAGGGAGTCTCTAAGTATTTTGAACAAAAGAGTAACATGACATTTTTTCATGATTTTTAAATTCAGATTTCTTAAAAGTTTTGTTTTCAAATAAATGATATAATCAAATAAACCAAGGTGTAAAAACACACCTTTAAGGACAAAATATACAGCAGAAATGAACAGCAGAAAATAGTCTCAGACTCTCCACTGTCACTTGACTTTTATAGCAAAAGGTTTCTTAATTCAATGGGCAATTCAGTATTTGGAATACCAGACGTGCACTCTTCCAGCCAAAAAGACAATGACATTTTGACAATTTGGTTTTTAACTCCTTAACTGAAAGCCTTTCTCCATTTATATTAGAATGGTATTTCCAGATTTTATCATTTAAGGCAAGAGTTGTCCAACAATGGCTCACAAGCTAAACCCAGCTAACCATCTGTTTTTGTAAATAAAGTTCAACTGAAACACAGCCAAGAAACCATGTTTACGTACCATCAACAATTCTTTCGCACATAAACAGTAAAGTTGAGCAGGTGCTACAGAGACCATGTGGCCTGCAAAATCTAAAATATTTACTATCTGGCCTTTTACAGAAAAAGTCTGCTACCTCTGAAAACATGTCAGAATTACTTGATATCAACTAAAGAATTTTCCAAATATACACTGGCTAATAAGTCATCCGAACCCTGCCTTGCAACCTCAATCCCACACTTTCAAGCTAAATATTTTGAAAACAAAGAGATTAATGTTAAGCAAGTCAAGTTAAAATCTTAAAACACTAAAGTACCTT